ATTATAAACAAAAACCTTTTACAAAATAAAAAGTAAAAAATTCTAATAGAAAACAAATAATAAACAGGTATTAAAGAAAGGAAAACTTGTAAAACTTGTAACTTGAAAAAGGAAAAAAGAAAAGGAAATAATAAAGAAACATGTAAAAATATTAATAAAAATAAAATAATAAAAAACGAGTCTTGTTGGTCCATCTTCTTGCGTTGGTTTTATTGTCGTCTCAAGAGTTTTTATTTAAGAGTCACAAAGAGCGTGTCTATATAAAACCCAAAGCTCGCCGCTACGTAACGACCATCTCTATTACTCGACTTCACACCCCCCTCTCACCTCTCCTAAAGATTCAACCTTTTTTGAGATTCCCCAATTCTGAGATGAAGCTAGTCGAGAAGATGATGACTACGGAGGAGAATGAGAATGGTGAAGATGTCTGCCGCACGATCGAGGTTTCGGGGGTTGACAGAAACGGGTTCCAGTCTCCGGACGTTGAAGCTGATGATACGTTTCGAGCTATCTCCGGCGAAGAGCTTAACCTAATTCCGCCGCTCAACTTCTCCATGGTCGATAACGGTATATTCCGCTCTGGATTCCCTGATTCAGCTAACTTCTCCTTTCTCCAGACTCTTGGCCTCCGCTCAATCATGTAATCAAACAACCTCCTTCTTCTACATTCATTACGTTTTGTTCTATATATCAAACTTACTTTCGAATTGCTAATTTTAGGTTTTTTTGCTAAAGTGGGTAATTTCGAATTTTGTGTAGATACTTGTGTCCGGAGCCTTACCCAGAGACCAATCTCCAGTTCCTTAAATCCAATGGAATTAGGCTTTTCCAGTTTGGCATTGAAGGCAATAAGGTAAGCTTCCTTCTTCTCCTCTCTCTCTCTTTCTCTCTTTCTCTCTGTTCTTCAAGTCTCCGTTTTTAATTGCTCTATACTTTTGATCTTGCTTGTTCTGTATTTTCCTAAAATTTATTACTTGGATATTTCCCGGGCTGTTCAAACCTACTTTCACTAGGAGAATTCTCTGAACTGAAAAAATCATATCTTGCAGTGTGTTCCTGACTTAGACAACGAGATTTGGTTGCATTTATGGAGTTCTAAGCATCACAAAGAGGGTCCATTAACTAATGGTCTTTCGGAAACTTTGGTATATATATATCAACTAACTATTAACTGAATCTCAGTACTATTTCTGGAATATGTCAAAGTTCATTCAATTTGATGGGGTTTGATTTGCTTGATATTTGTTTGCCTAATTGTTCTTAAACCCCTGTCTCGTTGTTTTTCTTACTTGAGACTACTAAAACGGTTTGTGTGTTTTTGTCCTGAATCTGATCCTTCATGGGCACTTTGTTCCAAGCCATATTATATTATTATGAGTTTACCAGAAAAGAACACATCTTTCTTTATTGTCTTGCCTCTTTGGCTCTTTCCGTCTCTCTTGACCTCCACTGCTTTGGTCCCACTCTTTGTTTTTCTGCCCCTTCAGCAACTATTACCACTTGGTCTCTTTATACTCTCTATTTTATAAAAATTAGATAATGGGACTACGTCAAAAATACTTCTGCTGAGCTGCTTGTTGCAAGTGTTGTCAACGATCCACTACTCAAAAGCTTACTTTCTGTTGATATTGTTTTCTTGGTTCATGTTTAATGAGTGTGCACTTTTTTTTATATCTTATGAATTCATACATCAGCAAAAGCGTTTCTTGATGTTGCACAAGTTAACCATTTTTTATGGTAAAAGACTTGTTGAAAGCGTGTTGATCGTGAAAGTGTCCATATTAGCTGTAAGCTTTGAAATCTAGATAAGGTTAGGAATTGCTGGGAAACTGATGGATGGTTACGTATTAAGTCGGTTACTGTTGTTTAATACCTACCTTTAGTCTCTTTCCTTTTCTATGTCTTAGTGGCTTATGTTTGGGCAAACGTTGGTAAACTGATGCAATAACTTCACCATAGAGTCTTGAACCTAATACCCACAGGAGTGTATGAATATGTGTCTGGTACCAAATTTTTCAGTATCAGTAATAAGAAGCCAAAACATTTTATATCTCTGAAGAGATTGGTACGAACCTAATTTGACTTGATTTAGAATCTTGACAATTTAAAAGTGGGGTTGAAAGTAAATATGCTTACTCCTCTCTGGTAAGCAGTAGCTATCATTTTCTCCCCACAGAATCCAACAAGGGTCCTAGGATAGTCCCATGTTTCTTCTACAGAGATTCTTTATGTGGGGAGTCGTTTAGATGCTTGCTACCATAGTTCCCTTGTTTTGGTTTTACAATACAAAAGAAAAAGTAAAGTGGCTTTTATTTTCTTGGTGTTGTGATTTAATTGGAAGGACTTTGGAAACTATTCCACATTCACATAGTTGGATCTCATTGACTTTGGTTTTTCCTTCTGGACTCAGATTCTTTATGCTTAGTGTGACAGCAATGATCTTGATAGGAAACCTTTATCGTTGATATTCTTGGCTTGCTAAGCTTTACCTGTCTCATAGATTTGTCTTACAATGGACCTTAGTGTTTATTCCGTGTTGTTGTTGTTGTTGTTATTTGCGGGGATAACTTTTCAATAGAAAAAGCTAGGAATCTTTTTCTCAGTACGCAACCAGAAAAAAAGGTATCACATTTAAAATGCTTCATAACTTGTAGACTTTGTCCTGTTGATGAATCTTTACATGGTTGTCTCTCTCGACGTTGCTTGTGTATGAACCTTGCTTACTTGATTGCCTTATCTTATCCTAATCTGCTTAATTTAGAATCTTTTGGCATATAATCTTATAATTCTAAAAAAAGATGGATTCTTGTTTTCAGGAGCCATTTGTGAATATTCCAGACCACAAAATCCGCATGGCACTCAAATTGCTTCTAGGTAAGTATGAATAATATAGAAGCCCTAACATCAAAGAACATACACTTATTTTTTTGCTTTCTAATTCTCTAACTCGTTCCTTACCAACATCTTCATTTGAAATCATCAGATGAGAAAAACCATCCTCTACTGATTCATTGTAAGCGAGGCAAGGTAGTATTTCTCTCTAATCCTCAACAAATAATCTTTTGGCTCCACCATTGAAGGCAAAAATGAAAACTGAAAGTGTAAATCTGGAATTTGCAGCATAGGACTGGTTGTCTTGTTGGTTGCTATAGAAAACTTCAGAAATGGTGTTTGACATCGATATTTGATGAGTACCAGCGTTTTGCAGCAGCGAAAGCTAGAGTTTCGGATCAAAGATTCATGGAGACATTCGATGTTTCAAGCTTCAATCATATTCCTCTGTCTTTCTCTTGTTCTACCAGGTAAACAGTGAAGCTAAAATCTTCAGATAAAAAGGCCAATCAAAAGGAGAGATTTATCATATTACAGTTCGAGAGGAGGAATCATTCTTCTGTTTCTTTACCTTTCTCTGGAATCAATAATAATATTTCGAGAAAAGAAAAGGTTTAATTTTCTTTATGATAAAATGATTTTACTCTTTTTTCTTCCCTTGCTGCATCTCAGTGTAAGGTAGATAAATACGTATATATAAGTAACATAGATAGGAGTTTGTGTAGGAAGATAAATATATTTTCTTGGGTTATTCCAAATGTTTTATTTCATCAGAACATGATTTGTTATTATTATTCAAAGTGTTCATTCTCGTGACAAGAGCAATGGGAATACAGTACTACTACTATCATTAATATGTAAATAATTTGTTCATAGCCAAAGTATATGGACTAATTTTTATATTTCCTGACCAATATCATTACTATAACTAGTTCAATACCTGAATATTTTGTACTATCATCTCGGAATCAATCTTTTGTATTAGACATGCCAGATGCGTGAAAAGTTGTTAAGTCACGAATATAAAATCCTAACTAAGCCAAGGCCACTACCAGTTTTAGCTATTATAAGTGAGATAGTTGTTACGTCACGGATATGGTCATATGGAAACAGTACTCCACTGGACTGTTATCAATCATTTTTTTATTGTAACTAAAAACCATGAAGCCGATTTTACAACAACATGCAAAGCGCATTCTTGTTTGCGGTTACAAGAGTTCTTTGTTCCGTTCCTACGCAACCCTGTGGTCACCCGAGGCAAGCCAAACTCTGCAGCTTCGGATCAAAGCGGCTTTACATCCTACACAACAACCCTTGCTCGGTCAATGGCAGCAACAGGAGAAACCGCTGTACATCAAAGGGCTCATCGAAAATTTTCAAGATTCTAATCGGTTTCCTCAAGAACTCGAGGTTTCTTATAAATCCGATCGTCAATCTATGTAATGTACCTGAAATCTTCTAAATGGAGTAAAACCAAACTAATAAAGAATGAATTTTCTTTATATGGAGTATGTTTTTAAGTCTTTTTATTTGCAAATGTGAGGTTGTCTAACATATAAGGTGTGCTCTTGGTTGTGGTATTACTAGGCATCAAAATGGATGGGTGAAGAAAAGGTGTGTACAGCTCATCTTCATCTGACTGAGACAGTGTTGGGTTTGGAAGAAACAGAGAAGTTCTTCAAAACCATCCCTTCAAACATGAGAGATTACTCAGTCTACTCCACGCTCTTGACCTCTTACACGAGATCTGAGAAAACGTTGGATAAAGCCGAGTCTACTTTCAAGAAGATGAGAGAACTCGGCTTCCTCTGGAAATCGTCACGGTTCAACTCGATGATTTCTCTATACAGCCAGCTGGGAAAAGGAAATATGGTCGATAAGCTGTTTATGAGAAGGTGGGTTGATGAAGAAGGAATCAAACTGGAGAGAGACACCGTCGCAGAAATGGCAAATGCTTATGTTAGAGTTTGTTCGGAGATGTATTATGGTAACGTGGTAAGGAGTGCAATAGGGTGATACAAACTCTTTGGGACAAGTTCAAAAAGAGCGAAGAGGATTATCAAACCGTGATGAGCTCTTTGTCGAAACTTGAGGATGTCAAAGAAGCTGAGGATATATATGGAGAGTGGAAAGAAAATGGAATGGTAACCAAAAAGACAATAATGCTGTTACATGTTTTGAATCTGCTCTTGATCTTGGTCACTTTGAGCCTTCCTTTTTTTGTTTGCTTTGAGCATTCCTCTGGTTGTTTTGAGTGTTATCTTGACGCACATTAGTATCACTCAACTTCTTAGATTTATGTTCTTTTAGGATAAAGATTAATATTCTCTAAAACAAAACCGAAAGGTAATAAATTCCCCATATATAAAACACAATTATTAAACGTACAACAGGACATACATTACATACCACATAAAACATTATTAAAAATATTTAAGTTGCTAATAACATTATATAATGACTATTATTTATTTATTATTATAGTAAGTGATTAATTGATTCAGGCAGTAGCCAATGGTCCAACATTGTTGGCCATGGTTGTCTCCATAGCTTTCATGGCTTCAAACCTCGGTTCCTTGGCCTCAAACTTGACAGCAGAGTAGAGTTTCATGTAATCTTCGAACACGAATCTCGGATAATTCTCTTTCTTCTCCTTCTCCGGTTCCTTTCCGATCAACTCCGGCGCCGGGAAAATAACAGAGTCACTTCCCGGATTGTAGAATGATGCAAGCGACATGCGTCCTTCTCCGTCCGTCTGAGATAACACTCTGTGTTCCACACTCTTGTACTTGCCATTGGTTATCACCTGGTTTAACCCAAAATCTAATCTCATAAATCCTAATTCAATTTGGTCCGGTTAGGTTAAGTAGTTAGAATTTGCAAGTTACCTCAAGTTGATCACCGAGATTAACGACGATAGAATGCTTAACCGGAGGAACATCGACCCAGTCGCCGTCTTTAAGGAGCTGAAGTCCACTGACTTTGTCGTCTTGGAAGAGGAGGATGATGCCGCCGGCGTCGGTGTGGGCTCGGAGGCCCTTGACTAAGTCCGGTTTAGGACAAGGTGGATAGTTGCTGACTTTGGTTCCAAAAGTGGGGCTTTTCGAACCGCAAAACACCTTTTTCAGATAACCCTTCTCCAAACCGAGATTCTCGCAAAGCAGATCCAATAGCTCCTCCGCCAACTTCTCTATCTCTCCGGCGAACTCTTTCATCAACGTCCTGTTCCAGACAGAACAACATACGGCGTCAGTTTACAATTTAACCGAAACCAAATTGTTGAGAAACTGCCGGACCGGTTAAGAAGGAAAGAAAAAGTGACCTGTAGTCGGGGTGGAGGTCGGGGACATGGGAGAGATTAGAGACGGGAAGGTGTTTAAGGTAGAAAGTGGATTCCCAGTCAACGTCGTTGACTTGAGAGTGGAGAGAGTCAAGACCTCTGTTCTTGATGGATTCCTTGAACCTCTCTTCCATGCACTTCTTGTAGTGTTCCTTGGTCATCTTCTCCACTCTGTCCAGAAGCTCGTGTGGGATCCCGTGGTTCACACACTGTGGTTACCCATTTCAAACCCCTTTTAGTTCCATTTTTAGTATCTCGATTGTTTTTTTTTTTTTAAGGAAAAACAAACTTGAAGATGGATGGATGAATACCTCAAAGAAGCCCCAGTTTTCACAAGCGTCTTTGATCTTCTCCATCGTGATGGCTCTCTCTTCTCCATTAAGCGTCTCGAGATTGATGATCGGGAAACTCTCCATCTCTCTCTCTTTTTGTGTGTTTTTTTTTTTTTAAATGAAGCCAAACTTTGGAAGTGTGATAATGAATCTGATGAGGAGAGGAGTTGCTTTTTATAGACAGAGCGAGAAGAGAGAGGAGCTTTTGAGTTACCCTCCTCCACGAGTCACACAATTTCTACAGTATTATTTGGCCTTTTTGGACCCGCAACACCAATGCTAATATCATTCATTTATCTGACAAAATTGTTCGATATATAAAAGTATGTTTATGGTCGACCAGAAAGTCTGATCACTTTTTGTTCCCTTGATGTGTTATATAGTACAATTGTGGAGTAACGTATTATTATTTATTAATCAACAAAAGCAAGTATAAAAGATAAGAACCTTTTTATTAATGACATAAAGTCATGATTACTACTATTCATTACCTTTAAAGTTAGCAACTTAAGTAAAAGAAAATTACTAAAATATTTTGGTAATAGTATTGCGAGAGCGACCTATATATATTAGTCTACTCTCTCCATGCGCGCTTGCTTGTTTACTCGTAAGTCTTCGGCTCGCACGAAACATTATTTAGTTAGTTTGACCCGATTTTTTGTTCTTCCTTTTACTTTTAGTGTAGATTAATCTTCTTTTTCACTTTTCTTCCCTTTTACTTTTAGTTTTGAATACTAGTACACTTTTACAAAATTATTTTCTTTTTTTTACTTTCAACATTCTCTTGCTTTCAAGTAAACCTGCCTACACTTTACAAAATTATATTTTCAAATCTACAAAGAAAAATTTTGTTTCAGATATTCTCTAATGTCAATCAATGGTTGCTTTTTGTATTTTGATTTTGATGGACCGTTGTTCTCTTCTTTGTGTCCGTCCATTGCGAAGCTGCTAGGTACTAGTCTCGTATTTTCCTGCGTTAAAACATCTCTCTCTCTATATATCTATGTGCACGTCTATATAAAGTATCCTGAGCCCATTAGTTTTGACCGTTCAAAATAAATTTGTCCAATTTATGCGGAGAGAAGTTCAGATTATTGATGGATTATTCGATTACGTGGTTCCGAGATTGGCCACAATATCTCAAGAAAATTTTCTTCTTCTTTCAAATTCTTTTGTTACTATTTGGAGAAAGGTACCGTTATTTTTTGTGTGCTTTAGCATTCGTATATGTTTATCATAAGATAAATGATTTAAAACAACTGATAATAATTAATAACATATGCTTTAAACTGTTTGATAAAAAAAAGAGATATGCTTAAACTTTATTTCACACATCCTCACAATCATATCCCACGTCATGATTCTTATGGGAGGAGCCTCGGAAATCTATCAACGACGGGTTTTTTTGGCAACTACTGATTTGAATTTTCTTTAGTATTTGCTATCTTAGAGTTGATTATTATGCAAACGAAATAAAGAACGTGTGTTTTATTTCATGTTGACTCTAATACTTTGGACTCGAAAACGTAGTGAAACTTAAACATAGAAAAATATGCTTAGCAAGTTAGCAGCCGGTGTTATATGTATATTCAATCATGTAGGACTAATTAAAACTACAAAAAGTGCAAAAACAACAAATTAAGAAGTCAAGAAGGAAGACTTGTAATGAGAAACCTAAAAATCACATATTCATAAGCCACTTTTACCATTTTGTGTGATTTACGAAATCAAATCAACGTAAAAAACACGACTCTAGTCAATGGGCCGTGGAATAAAAGTTTTGGTGTATAACTTTTAAAAATAAAAAAATAAAAAATATTTCTTGTGGAGGGCTATCTTAGAAAGAGATGTGTTGTGATAATTTTGGTTTGGTAGATATCTCCCTCGTGCCGTTGGGGTCAAGCTACAGCTTTGGTCAATCTCATGTTATCGACACCACAAAACCCACAATGCCCTACTAGAGAGTAGAGAGGACCTACTTCAAATTTAATTCCGTTTGGCTTCTCCCGGCCCTCTTCGTTATCCCTCCATTATACATTATTTTATCATTCACGTTACCACTTATGCATAATGACACAATATATATCAGACCGAAGAAAAACATATATGCATACAATCTAGATTTCTTGTTTGCCAGATATATACACTAGCCTAGATGCATGCATCTGTTATATGAAAACTTATCATAACAGAGCAAATATACAAATGAATAGTACATTTTTTTTTTTGTATAATGAATCATAAATGCTGCGTCGTCAACATCACAAAAATGCTAGTTCAATTTCTATTCCAAGAAAAAGAAGAAGAAGACAATTCAAATTCTCAAAGTATGAAGTGTATCGAGCACATATCTTTTTAATCAAACGATTTCAGTATTTCACATTTCTCTAAGTTATGGAAAAATTGAGTTAGGTGTTCAGTTTACAATGTAACAACAACCAAAAAATTCAAAGAAACATCTCAAACTCTCTGTGTCTAGCCAAATAAATATATTAAAATTATATCAATTCAAGTGCTTGGCTAAGATCTTGTTCTGGTTCTGCAACCATAACTGCTGTTCTTGCAACACGGACTGATCATGTACCCCTCCATTTTCTGAAAATGTGTCTACAAACCCAAAATTCTCAAATGTGGTAAATGGGTCACCCTTCACCGGCAATACTCCTGCGGCCTTAAACGTTGGTGTAGAAGACGGCTCAAAATCTTCAGGAACGTTCACCTGAAACGTCGGTTTTGGCTGAAACTCTGTCACAGCCAAGGGATTGAACGTGGTTAATAGTTCTCCGGCTGCAGCTAACTGTGCAACTGGTTCTTCCAAGAATGGGTTATATTGATCCATTGCGTCTTGAAACACAGGCATCGGATCAGCTAACCCGAACGGTACTATTGCCATTGAGTTATTATCCTGAACTTGTGTAGCGGTTTCTTCCAGCGCAAGCAACCAATTCCCTGAATCCCTTTGATCCTCGGAGATTGAAGGTTCATCCGTAGTCGTTTCTATCTTCTTCATCGGATCATCTCTCAACATCAACGCCTCCCAAGGATCAAAAGATTTCTCCGCCTTTGAATCATCTTGCTTCTTGTCTTTGACATCTTTTGCTTCTGCCGTGTTGTTTACGTCATCCAACGACAATAGGTCAAATGTTTGACTTGAAGCAGAAACAGAGGGATCATTGGGAAGGGATTTAGTCGAAACCGTATCGAAATTATTCCCATTCGGATCATCTCTTCCTCCTGCGTAACCGTAAGGCTCAGAGTGACAAGACATTGGAGGACTACTAGTCCCTGCTTCAGTCCTGCTCATCAAATCCTCCAACGAAGTACTACGAAACGATCCGTAATCCGAATACCTCTCCGACGTATCAATCGTTGAGTCTCCAAAATCAAGCGAGCTCGAAACCATAGAATCTTTGGACGACGGAGGCGGAGGAAGAAGACTATTCGGCGACGGATACAACCCCGCACTCGCCGGAAACGACGACTGATCTTTCAAAAACTCTTGCAACGTCTCAAGAAGCTCTAACGAGATCTTCTGAATGCTAGGATACTCCGATGTTCTTCCTACACCGTTTGATTTGCAGAGATCGTAGAATCCGTTAAGCTCTTCGAACTGTTTGGAAGCTCGAACGCTAGCTTGAAACGCATGGATGCAAGATTGGTATTGCAGATGGAAAAAACTATCTAACAAAAGCGCTAAACCGTCGGAAATGTCTCTGTAGAGATCAAAACTCTCTTGCACGACGGCGTAAAGCGACATTTTCACGAGCTTGTTCGATTTGGCGTCTCCCGTTGGCCGTGTCGCGATTGCTCTGTCTAGTAACCTCTGCCAATACGTGATTTTGTCAAGAAGCATTACCGGTTTCATATCTCGAACCGCCGGTTCGTGGGATTTAATTGCGGTTTTAGTATTAAACCGGGATCTTGAGGTGTTTGAGTTGGAGCTGATTCTCCCGGTTTGGTCCCGGTTCGTGTAACGTCTCTGTAATTTCCCGGTGAGGAAGCAATCGAGACGCTCGTCGAGGTAGAGGGCGAACGTGCGGACGAAAGCCGTGAAATCCCAAGGGCAGGAGTTGGAATCGTCGCGGAAGCTGGAGAGGTTGAGGATTTTGGCGCCGCGTTTCATGGCGTGGAGGACTTCGCGAGGGAAATAAGGATCACCGTCTTGGAAAATCCTGAGGACGAGGACTAGGGATTTGAGCGCGACGATCCAGTTCCGTGTCCGCCCGATACGGCGTCCGATCGCGGCGGCGCAAGAGGCGGCGTGAGATTTCTTGGAGGATATGATGCCGAGGATCTCCGAAACGAGGCGATCGTCGATAGGGACTTCCTCGTCGTGGCTGGTAGCTTTCAAGATGGCAACCTCGAGAGTCGTGAGATCGCCGCCTCCGGTGGCACCGTTAGCGACTTTAGCGAGGCTGATGCTCGTCTGGTCTTTAACCGCTCCAATCGCTTTTTTCAGTTTGCTCGGCATTGTCGTCGCCGCGTTTCTTTTAATAATTTCACCCAATCGTCGTCTTCTTGTTCCTCAAAAGGAGAGGGTTTTAAATTTCTTTTGAATATCTTAAACACCTTGAATTAGCGATTAATCACGAATTCAATTAAACCAAATTAGAAGAACTTTTTTTTTGTTTGTTTTCATTTGAGTAGGAAAAAAGTATTTTCCTCTAATTTTTTTTTGTTTCTTTTTTCTCTCTCAAAGGAAAACTTTTCAAAAAAATTTCTGTATCATCTAAAAATAGAGAGGGAAGGCAGAATAAAATGGCTGGAGAGTCTCTGAGGACCCTTTCAAGACATGACAAAGATACATCATTTGAGTTGTTTGACTAATAGAGAGACTTCACACGCGATTTTGGCGTTTTTGGATTATAATTTCTATAAATCTTGTTTACATACAGTAATAATAATTGAATTTTGTGTTTAACTTTCGAAAAATTATGATAAATAATATATCAAAGAGTATGAAAATTAGTTTGCAGGTCGGTGTAAATTACAAAATTTGTATCAAAAGTGAATCGTTGTAAGTGTTGTAATCACACAAACAAATCAAATCATAGCCTCAAAAGAGTGGGTTAGCATCTTTATGTTCAAAATCTTATAGACGAAAAGAAATGTTTGTTTTTAAAAATATTATCATATCTTATATCTTTGCTGTAGACGTGGAAACCATCATTGTATATCATAAATGAATACAACGATAAATAAGAGCTAGCAAAGCATAGTGAGATGAAATCATGGAGAAAATAGCTTACCATTAGATCGAGACAATATTAATTATTGACGGCTTATATATAAATAAATAATGTCAAAGCGAGTTGTAACAATTATATACAAGGAAAAAACTAAAGGATTTTCCTTTTTTTGAGTCCAATTATATAAAAGGAAATTTAACTTTTCCTTTTCGTTTTCTTTTTAATATAAATTTCCTTTTCTTGTAAAACATATAACATTTCCTTATAAATACACTAATCTCTTCTTAATCGTTCACAAAGAACCAACCGCTATCTTCTTAATTAACCTAGAGTGCTCTTTCTTCCTTTTTATTTTCTTATGGAACAAGTTATCTCGATCGCTATGGGAATGATTATTATTGTCCGATTGAGATATAAATGAAGAAGACCTTTGAACATCTTATGTGATCAATGTAATTTATGAATTAAGCTTCAAACGAGCAATTGGGGAAAGCTCAGTTATAAAGGAATAGAAACGCAAAACCTCTACATTGTCATGACAGAAAAAAGTTGATTATTCTTTTCCAGACAATCTAATAGACTTGATAGAAAACTATAACTGTGTGAGTATTATTTTTAGAACTAAGAGATTAACTCTGTAAGTTGTAGAAACAAACATTAATTAAAAAAAAAAAAAAGGATTCATAGATGATCTGCTTCCATCTCAAGAAAAGTCCCATTCAGCTTAATCAGAGTCCGAGCAGGGAAAGTCAATTTCTATGGAAGTGGGTTCACAAATCATTGTAGCTGTGGCTGATGATGCTCCCTAAGGTCATAGTAATAAAAAAAAAACATTTGAATCAAAAGAAATGAGATTATAGGTAATAATAAGCTTTGCTAGAGTAGAAATAGTTTATTTACCTCTTGTTTAAACTCTTGCTTCACAGGATTATATATAGACACTATTTTTTGTCTATGGGGTACAACATCAGAGTCATCAAGCTCTCTACCATCATCCACACTATATACCCAAAAAAAAAAGAAAAACAAAAAAAAACAAGAATGACCATTATTCCATATTAATTATGATTATGAAACCCTAGATATTTAGTAGTATAATCGAGGCAGTTTAGAAATCAACCTCTTGGCCAAAGCAGCGGTGTAAGAAGAGCTTCTCAATATGGTCATTTCATCTTGGACCATCTTATTCTTAGATCCTGAGACAGAGGTAGCAGAGGAGTGCCTTCGTTTCAAAGGAAGTCGAGATCGATACTTCAATTCCTTCAACCTCCGTCCTTGTGACCGAGGAAACCTTTTGAGTGGAGGAAGCTGATCACCAAGGAAACCAGAGATGGCGTCGTCCAGATTCCAGCTGAAGCATTCGAGGAAGTACAATGCTTCATCTCTACACGCTGACGTTTCCTCGCAGAAGCTAGTGACCTTATTATTTTCGATCATGGTGTAATTTCAAGGGACTTTTCTTGTTTTTTCTCAGAGATTATGATATCATTATTTCACTTTAAGGTCTAGTAATAATAACTTATTGAATTTAACAAACAGAGAGATATTCAGGGAAGCAGCTGCTGCGACTTTGTCATGACGACGAGTAACAACAAACTACCTACTGATGATACGGTCTTGTTTTGTTTTCCAATAAAAATAAATAATCATTTATGTATTTCGTTTTTTTCCTAAGCCCAAGTTATATAACAATTCTATTATTTCTTAATTTCAGATGGTATGATCTTTTCTCGAGCTGCTAGAAATATATAGCTCCAAAAATTTCTGCTGCTTTGTTTTGGAACGATTGTGAGAGTGAGAGAGTAATACTGAGTCCACTAAAGGAGGATCCCAACAACAATTACATACCATATCACAATTGAATTTGCTTCCTCGCAACTGTTATTCTAAATTGGAAGTGTAAACACCACATTCTCTCATTCTTCCATCAAGGAAACTGACTTGGGACGGTGAATACTCTCACAGCCAGGACAATTGTGTAAGCTCTCGTGTATGTATATGTCACAGTCCAGACAGAAATAGTGCTTACATTTACGACATGTTACGCATGGGCCAGGCTTATTCCCTGCAAACAAAAGCACCAATGAGCCTTTATATTCAATTGAGTGGTTCGGTTGATGCAATGTAGTGCATACACAAGTTCCCCTAAACAAAAAAGGGTGAACTACGCGGATCTTAAGTTCAGTCTCTGGTTCAGTGACCAATGATTATTGACCACTAGTACTATGAAACATGTATAGAAAGACTGCATAAACTGCTGTTCAAGTATTTACCTGCGCCATTTAGGCTCTGTTGGCAGCCAAAACAACTCTTTCCCAAATCTTTCCGAGAATCATTCAGACTTGAAAGAGCAGGAACCTCATCAAATGGGGCGATTGGGAAAAGGTGATGGTATGATCTCGCTAAATGTGGTGATGAGACAAGTGTTAGACCGCAGATAGTGCATTCTGTCGGGAGGTCACATACCCTAGCTTTGCATCTCGGGCACATGTAACCAGCTCCAATCTTTACTTCCTTATGACAAGAACATATTGCCATTGAACCCTCAGCAGCTCTTTGTGGGAAACCCATCTTGATCAGATTTGAAATTGCAAATTCTGCTATCGCCGGAGGTGGAGGCGCATGTTCGAGTAGAAGATCCTTTAGGTGCACCTGCGTGAAAGACAAATACACACTAAGAAACTTTTATACAAAATGAATATGTTTCAAAGTTACAAGTTAAAGTAAAAGGAATGTGAATTAACCTCATCTACTGCAACAGAATACAATCCACCAGTTTCCTGGCAGAGATGTTTACATATGAACATTTCTGCAGAAAGCCCAATTACAGAACATCTTAATTTGGATTTCTTGCATTTTTGAATGGTATCCATGATATCGCCTGGATCACAAGTGCATAAAGCAGAGTACAATATGAGAACCTCGCGATGACCATAAGATGGAACCTGGCTGAGGTGCTCATTTACAAGTTCCAGGGCGTTCTGCAAAGAGGAGTCACCCAAGGCTTCCAACTTCCCCATCAGCTCTTTAATGTGAGTCTCAGGACTACCACCAAGATCTGTAAGAGTATGCGCAACTCCATTTTTAATACTCACTAAACCAACTTGACTCAGAGGATTCTGATCAAAGAACTCTCTAATAAAAGCCTCAACATGTTTTGCCATTACGGCAATCCGGCTTGGTCTGAAATCCGTTTCAGCAGCTGCCTAGACACGAGAATACAGTCAAGTGTAAGACTTTACATATAATGAAAAAGGAGAAATGTGAACCCAAATCATAATGTTGCCTCGAATAATATAAGAATCACATCCATATGCTCTAAAACCCCACTTAGAGTATCATTGCAAACAATACAGAGCGAACCATAGATACTATTGAGAAGACTAAAGAACAGAGATATCCTAAACTCAACCAAGGATTCAAAAGTAAAAGCAGTGTACACATCTCTATCTATATATAAATTACCCCAAAGTGAATCAGGATCTCATCTCTATAAGTTCCAATGAAAGCAACATATGCTCAACTCGTAATCAACTCAAAGGATACGCCATTGAACTAAAAGTTCACAAAACCAGCAACTTAAATGCCGTAGACAGTAGAACCAAAATTGCATACCCGAGAGAAATCAATGACGATGTAGAGATAGCGAATAAGTCCCTTTTGGATACGAGTACCAGCAGCAGCGGCGGAGAGCATGCGGAGACGGCGACGATACTGAGCATGGTAGATGGCACTGTTATCAATTGGGCGTAAAAGCCCAGACTCATCTTCTTGCAACTCCTCCCAGGATCTGTCGTCAACATACGCTCTCTCCCACTCGCCGATACCTTCCGCATCCTCGTCGTCTTCGTCTTCTCTTTCTCCGCTTAACCTCTTTCTTTGATTACTCATCCTTTACACCTTTACCTCACCGAACCCAGCTGATAATTACTTGTTTGATCTCGCCTTTATCATATCTTCATCTTCCCTAATTATATTTCCACCATCTCTCTTGCTTTCCTGCTATTATCAAATAGCTTAAATGGGCCTATTTTTTGGTTATATTGGGGTGTTTTAAGCTCCATTTAAAAGTAAAGGGACGGTAATAAAAAACTGAGGTAATTAGGCTTCATCTAACGACAGCGTTTTCTAGGCACTTCCCCCTTCTCCCTTGGCATTGTTCTGCTTCTGCACCAGGTAAATATCTCAATCTATTGATTTGGATTAAAAACTATTAGTATTAGGGAGGTCACAGCTTTGTACAGTCAGTTAGGGATTCTTTATAGAGGAGTTTAGAGAGTGGAACAGAGAATTACATTACTTATGACCTAATCAATTTATTCATTGAAAATAAAAAGTACTAGATTTTACCCCGTGGTATACCACGGGGCTAGTATTTTATGCGTATATGTTATGTAAAACCTTAACCGTTATAGTTTATATATGTACGATTATAGATAAAAGTTGTTTAGCATAGTCTTTTGATTGCCAACATGAAAAATGTTGTAGAGATATTTTAGGAATTTATTGTTAAATTTAAATATTTTATGAATACAAAAATTGATTTAGGAAATTATAAAATAAATTAGTAGAGATATTTTAGAAACCTATGTGATTTCTTATGTTTTTAAGGTATATTATTTGAGTAATGATTTGTTTTGCCATATATTATGTATTGTTATTTTGTGAAATAATTTACGGATTAACTTTATAAAGAAATTTAAATTAGTAAAACTAAAATAATTTAGACATTTTTATGATATTTCCCCATTGAATAAATATGAAAATAATTTAGCCGATAGTAATTAAGAAGGAATGTTAAATTAAAATAGCGTAACAATCACGAGACCTATTAAAATTAAGATTGCAATCTTAATAAGGAATGTATATGTTTTAATTTTTTTAGTTAATCCTCTGCTAATTTGTAGGAACAATTATGTAATATGGAATCATATATGTTTTCAATTTTGTTAGTAGTTAGTGCTCACCGAATTCTTAGGAGTAATGCTAGATTATGGAATCGTAGTAACCTTTTAACATTTAATATTTTTACCAATGTTTTCAAATCTAAGAGAGTAACTATACATCAAATGAAATTGGGTTGAAAATTGATTGACATAACCGACCCGATTCGTAATTTTACATTATTAACCTTAATGACCTTTGCTAATTAACTTTGTATTAAGGGTATTGGTAGGCATAAAAATTAATACTAAATGTGGTCAAAAAAGTGGCTGCAAAAATAATAATATAGATAAAGTGATCATACTCAAGCTGTATAAGGGAATGATAATGAGGACCGGTACACAATACACTATCCTAATTATTTTCAAAAAAACTTTAGGAACCACGTCGGTCTGTATGCAGCTATAACATATCCGATTCCTAGTCCAAACATTATCAGGGTGAGCCCATAGCCCATCATTGCAGCTTTCGAGTTCAACATATATTCTTGCTTCGACGGCTTTAGTTGTCGAGTCTGTGGTGATGGTGCTCCGTTTTTCTCTAAGCAACTTTTGTGAAGAGGAAGACCACAAAGGTTGATATTCCCTTCAAAGGAAGTGTCATCTTGCGACACGAACTGTGTACCCTGTGGTATTTGTCCCGTGAGGTTGTTATGAGACATATTAATGTCTGCCAAGAACGAGAGTGCGCTTAGCTCTTGTGGAATGTTCCCGGAAAGTTGGTTTCGGGATAAGTCGAGTGACTGGAGTTCATTGAGTGTGGCCAAAGACGATGGAATCTGACCTGTGAAATCGTTGTTGGATAAATTCAACGCAATCAGTGACTTCAAGAGACCTATGGATTCTGGAATCTGTCCTCCAAGTCTGTTACGAGAGAAATCAACGAAAGCATAATCCGTGAAGACTTTCTCTAGCTCCATGGTCATTCCTTTAACATTCATAACAATGGAAGGATGAAACCTAAGCGGGTAAGAATCCCCAATGTAAAATGATGGTCCTTTATATTCACGCCCTCTGACCAAGGCTGCACTCCAATTCATAAAATAATTTGGTGGCAGGCTCCCGTCAAATTTGTTATGCGATATGTCAAATAACCGCAGTTCTGGAAACGATAGAGGATGTTGAGGAGAATAGATAGGGCCATTGAATCTGTTTGATCGTAGGATAATGAGTAGCATATTTGGTAAAGCGGTCATCCAGAAAGGAAATGTGTCATTGATGCGATTGCTCTCCACATTTAGAAACTCTAGGCTTTTGCAATTCACTAGAGACCTTGGAAGCTTCCCTCTTATTTGATTGTGGCCAACGTCGAGCATTTTCAGTGAGCTGTTGGAGAATTTGTCAGGAAATCTTCTAAGGTTGTTGTGACGTAGATTCAACACTATTAGCGATTCACTCAAGCATCTAGGAAATGAATCACTAAAACTGTTGTTTGATAGATCAACGTATAGCAGATTCCTTGGATTGCACATTGAAAGAGGTATCTCCCCTGTGAAATTGTTATCTGCTGCAACTATGTACCTCATGGATTGTGGAAGCATAGGGAAAAATCCTTGAAAGGCGTTTGAACTCAAAGATAAATAGACAAGTGACGAGTTAAGAGGCGCTTCTGGAGAGCCTTCAAAACTGTCGAGGGAGTTGTTAGCGAGACTCATTAAAGTCAAAGACGGCAAATTCCATATCCACTCAGGTACTTTCCCCTCGAATCTATTGTTAGAAAGTTCTAACGAAGAAAGCTTGGCCAAGTTGTACACATGGGGAAAACTACTGGTGAACTTGTTATTTGAAAGGTCCAAGTAGGTTAGCCCGGTTAGATTACTAACTGAGGATGGAAATTCACCGGTGAAACCATTTTGGTGAAGATCCAAGAACTCTAAGTTGGTGAGTCTGCCAAACTCAGAAGGGATTGAAGAGGAAAAGTTGTTGTAAGAAAGATCCAGATACCTGATTTGGTGTAAGCTGAAAAGGCTACTGTTAGCATCAAGAGTGCCATAGAGACACGCACCGCGAAGTTTTAGCTCTGTCACGGCACCGGTCTCTTCATCAAACGAAACCCCATCAAAAGAGAAAGCATCATTCGTCCAAGAGTTTGTCAATGAATTGTTGCATAACAGATTAAACTCATTTTTGAAAGCCATAAGGCTGTCAATTTGGTTGGGATAAGTATCAGGTAGACAAACAAGAGTAGTGGCCAATAAGGTCAAAGCAAAGACACAACTAAAGACACAAAAGGTGGAGTAAACACACAAATGTGAAGCCATCATGGGAAAAAATGATTTGCAAGCTAAGTAAGAGATGATGAAAATATGTATAGACGTGGACAAAGACGACCAACTAATATTATACAGCATGACTTGGAAAATTGGAAGTCTTCTATTCTGTACTGACCACATATTTATTCCACATAGACGTGGACCTTACCATATATTATTTTGTTTCTTTTTGGTTTTAGACCTTACCATATTAGCATGATCTTGTTTTTGAAGAAGAAGACTTCCACAAATTTCAAGTCAAGCCGTATGAAAGGTGGAATTGGAGCCCAAATCATTATCCTTGAATGATACAATGTGTGCACACACAATGGACGCAAAAGTCACGTCTAAATATTTTAAACCGGGTCTTGCATTATGTGGAATAATCATGTGGTTGATACATAATGAAAGACTTCTTTTCTTCAGTTTCCAAGTCAAGCTGTATCAAATTGAATCCTCTACCATGGACCATGGTTATAAATTTTTAGGCAGCAAAAACCATTCATATATAGGCATTTCTTCGTCAGTACCTCTTTCTTTCTCTGCAAGTCCTTTTTCTTTCCACGATGGCAATGCCTTTTCATGCGCTGTGTTTTTGTTTTGTTTTGAGCTTTTCGGTAACCACTCTTTTTTCTCTTCCTTACCGCCGTTCCGACCAAGTTGAGACACTTCTAGCTTTTAAGAATGAAACTGAATCCTCCTGCATTTCAGTGACAATGTCTTGGATCATTGATGCTATCTATTTTGATGGGGTTGAATTTGACAACGACACCGGTGTAGTGACGAGTCTAGACCTACGTGGTGCATGTCTCACGGGTCCTCTCAAGGCTAATAGTAGCCTTTTCAGATTCCACCACCTCAGGTATCTCGACCTCTCTTACAACTATTTTTACCCATCATTATTCCCCTCCGAGTTTGGTAGACTCACCAGCTTAAGGTTCTTGAATCTTAAATCTAGTGGCTTCGTAGGAAATGTTCCATCCTTAATCAATAACCTAAGCCACCTAACCCACTTGGACCTTTCATTTAACAAGTTCAACAGTAGTTTTCCCCTCTTATACAATCTAACCAAACTTTCTTCTTTAGACCTTTCAAACAATAGATTTAAAGGAAAAGTGCCTGAGTGGTTATGGAATCTACCTTCTTTGAAGGCAATGATACTCTCCCACAACTCTTTCAATAGTTTTGAGGGCTCCTCGGAAGTGTTCCTTCATTCACCACTTGTGTACTTATATTTGAATTCAAACGCCTTTCGAGGATATTTTCCTATGATTCCACAAAGCATGAGGTACATAGTTGCATCAAATAACAAGTTCACAGGAGAGATACCTCGTTCATTGTGCAATCCAAGGAACCTGACATTCCTTGATTTATCAAACAACAAATTCAGTGGTTCAGTTCCAAGATGCTTGAGTAAGTCACTAACAGTGTTAAATCTTCGTGACAACAACCTTGAAAGACTTTCAGACATATTCTACAGAAGCAACTCGCTAAAGGCACTTGATGTTGGCCATAATCATATAACCGGAAAGCTTACAAGATCCCTTGTGAATTGCACTAGTCTCGAGGTTCTAAACGTTGAGAGCAATAGAATCACAGATACTTTTCCGTTCTGGCTGAAGGCTCTACCGAATCTGCAAGTCATTATCATACGAACGAACCGATTCTATGGTCCTATATCTTCTCCACCAAATCCTCTATCGTTTCCAAAGCTGCATATAATTGACATATCGCGTAACAATTTTACCGGAAGTCTACCACCGGACTACTTTGTGAACTGGAGTGCAACCTTGGTGAACATCCCTCAAGATCATCAACGGCGACCAGAGTACATGGGAGATTCTTACTCACTTGGGTTTCAACCATCCATGTACGTGGCTAACAAAGGACTCCACATAAAGCTGGAGAAAATCCTAAGAACTTTCGGAGTCATTGATTTCTCTGGAAACAGACTTGAAGGACAGATTCCTGAATCAATAGGTCTCTTGAAGTCTCTCATTGTATTTGACTTATCCAACAATAGTTTCACAGGTTATATCCCATCGTCTTTGGGGAAGCTCACCAACCTTGAGTCACTAGACCTATCGCGAAACCAACTCTCTAGGAGAATACCTCAAGAGCTAGCAACCCTCACGTTCTTGGAATACATTAACCTAGCTCATAACAGACTCACAGGCCAAATACCACAGAGTACACAAATTGGAGGGCAAAATAAATCTTCCTTTGAAGATAATCTCGATCTTTGTGGTCTTCCTATTCTAAAAGATTGCTTTGGAGAAAACGTACCACCAACAACAACACTGACGCAACACTCAAAGCCGTGGAAACAAGAACAAGTGTTGAACTGGAAAGCAGCAGCAATAGGGTATGGCCCCGGACTCTTGTTTGGGGTAGCGATCGGACAAATGATATCTTCATATAAACCAATGTTGTTCTTTAAGTTGTTTCGTCTTTGACAGGAAACAGTTGTGTTTGGCTTTCTGAATTATGTGTAAAAGGATCCTTTGTATTATATATTCCTATGTTTTGATAAACACATGGATGTCTTCGGTAAGTATCTCATGCTATGTGTACTTCGATCCTTCAAAATCCTAAGGTTTGTTCTGTTTTACTTGGTCATGCAAATCTGATCCCGTCTCTAAGATCTCTCCTTGAAGATTGCCTAACGTAGTATATATTGACACTAAAGCTTTAGTGGCAAGGCAACGGGATTTTGCAAATCAGAGAAAAAAATATTTTGCTTACGGTAAGCTAAAACAAGACAAACATTGGAACTTTATCTATATTCAAAGCTTAATCACTCAATACATCAATTGTATATCAACATAAACTTTCTTATTTCTTTATAGTCTTACAGCACAATCTGATAATTCACCTAAGATCTTATTCCATCACACACACACACACACATATATATATATAATATCTCCTTTTTGGCTTTCTCTATCCATATAATAACACATTATCCAAAAGTCTAGGCTTTTAAGATTTAGGTCCCAGAATTTTCGAAAGCTCCTTCAAGATTGGTTTCTCCTTGATAGTACCATCGTTATTCTCAATATGCCACTTCTTCGACATGCTTTCCGCCTGTAAATTTATTGTCTTTAGGGTTAGTATTAACAATCATATAAATCATTTCGACCCAATTCCTTTGTGACGAAGCAATCAAATTTTTACTCTTTGACATTACCCAAGTTCTTAGGGGCTCTATCTGTTCCTTCACTGACTCCAGTTTTGGCTGAAAAAGATCTTTTCCTTTCGATCTTATGTCATCAGCCTAACAAAAAGAAAATCACACAGTAAGACGAATGGCATTCAAGATCATTCAAGCGAGCTTACAAATGTAAAAACATAGAGACATGCAATCTTACATTGTGCATGTCTAGTTTTGAGGCTGCCGTTCCAAAGACCAAAGTGGCTGAGCCAAAGATGATAATAGTAGCGGCTGCAAATGCTTTTCCAACTGCAGAAACCAGAAATAATGGGAGGCCTCGACATTAGGCAATTTTTTCAAACAGGAACATAGAACGACAAAAGACAATAACAAATTCTCAATTTTGTTTTGTTCTCCGAGGCAGTTTCTGCTATAGTAGGCTGCAAGCCCACTTATATAAACAAACACATGGTAGAAACTACCAGAACAGAGTGACTGCTAAACCTATAACCAAGAATTGTCAGATGTAAGTTTGGCTGTAAGAGAAATGTTTAGATTATTTGTCATGGAATCAAAAACACAGACCCCTATAAAGCAGTTGTCACCTTACACACTCATTAATCCGAAGCCACGGATAGTATATACTTCCATAACCATACAAAACCAAATTTCTCTTAAGTACGCTGGAACCTCATCAGAGTTAATGCAATTGCAGTCCCTAACAGGGTAAAATAGACAAGTTTGGGCAAGCATTTACATAGTCAACATTAGCAAAATCAAGGAAGTATAAACAGAACACGTACATAACTAAGTATTCCAATCTCTCTGTCTCTAGCAAACAACCCAGATCGAGCCATGTTAACTCTGTAGATAACTCCAGACTCCATGTTTCAAAGTTCAAAATGATTGGTTTCCAGGTAAAGAAAGAAAACATACCGTGTTGAAGTCCTTCACCAGCAGCTTTCAATTTTTCAGGATTTACAGGAGTGCCATATCTGTCTCTCCTCAATTCATTAGCTGTGGATGCCAAAAACGAATTCTCCGATTCCGGCAACTCCCATCTGCAATCAAATCGACCCAATTATCAACAATTCGATTTAAAAAATCGAGAATTTCGAAGCCCTCATCAAGTAAAAAACAGAGTATAAAACCCTAATTTGGACGAAGTTTGAACCTTCTGCGTCCGAATGTGACCTGAGGCAGAGACAAATAACCTCTAAGAGGATTCAAGACGTCAGGGGAAATAGAAACGACTGCGTTTGGATCAGATTCAAGAGCCCACTTGGAGAATTGGGAAAGAGACGAAGGATCAGGTGGACGGCCATAGATTCTAGAAGGAAGAGAATGGCGTAGAATCTCCGGAAGAACGTCAGGTTGAACTTCCGGTAGATCTGCCGGAAAAGATGGAAGCTTTTTGCCGGTGGGCGGAGATTTCTCGGCGATACGATTAACGGCGTGCTTGGATTCCTGGAAAAAGTAAGCTGCTTCTTTTCCCGCGAGTCTCCCTGCTGCAAGAAAACTCATTTTATTTTGTTGTTGTTTCGGTTGATTAGTCCCGTGGCTCGTATTTATACTATATATTATCTTCATGGGTCGCGTAACTAAACTCACATAATCCATATAAAATATATGATTCTTTAATCAGAAAATGAATGAATTAAGGATTTAATTAAAAATGATTTCCCAACCTTGGAGATCAAGGCTGTACAAGGAAGAACATGGATTGGATAAATTCCACTTTCTTGGAGAGAAGCTCTTTTTGACTTTTTAACCAGAGGTTGAAGAAAAGAAACCAACTTTACTTTCTTAACAAGTTGAACTCACATGAACACAGCCCCATAGAAACGGTTCTGATTCAAATAAACCATCAACCATATCTCCCTCCTTATCAGGATGACTGGCTCAAATAGATCTCACTGTGACGACTATGTGTTACTTTTAGTCCCAGCTGACTGCAGACTTTGAACAAGTGCCGTATCAACTCTATTATCTATGTTGTACCCTTTCTTTTTCATCTTTCATATAATGAATCCAGAACCATCCCTTTGACTCCCATTTTCGCCCTTACTTTCCCAGCTTCCTTTACTTTCCCATGTTTGTAGTACGCATTGATCATCACAGTGTAAGTGAAAACATTAGGTTGTTCTTCTCCCTCGATGCCCATCACTTCAAATAGCTTCTCTGCCTCTTTCAACTTCCCTTCTTTGCAGTAAATATCCATCAGATTAGTATAACTAACCTGTGTTAGGCTTGACACCTTATTAATCATCGTGAACAACCACTGTTTTGCCTCAACATATCGTTTCAATTTACTTAACGACTAGCAACAGTGTTATAAGTAAAAGCATCAGCTTGAAACCCTTTCTTCTCCATAACATCATTAATCCTTAATGCATCATCAATACCCCCTTTCCTGCAGTAAACATTAAGCAAAGTAGTGAACACCACCTGAGTAGAGTTCGCTCCACGTTTCTGCATCTCTTTAACCAACATTTCACTCGTTAGCCCAACTCGACAGACCCCATCGATAAGCTCCCCATAAGTGTGACTACTCGGTGAAAGACCATTCCCTACCAATCCATCAAACAACAAAAACGCTCTTTTGAGATTCCCGTTTCTGCAATTCCAACTTATAAGAGAAGTATACACATGTATATCTAATTCTATTCCTTTGTCACGCATTTCTTCGAACAGATTCTCTGCAACAACCAATGTCCCATTATTCATACCAAAACCCAATCAAAATCGTATATGTAGCAGCGTTATACGCCACGTTCTCCTTCTTCATCACCTGCAAAATCTTTTCTACAGAAAAGAAAATCTCTCTTTCTAATATAAGCATTGACAATGGTGTTGTAAGTATAAGATTCGGGTTTTAACTCCTTTACGAGAGAACTCATCAGTCAACTCTCTACTCTTTTCAACTTGACCACTTTGATACAATCCTTCAACCACAGTCGTCAATGAATAAAACACTGATCTTCACACCATTGCTCCTGAAAACATCCAGATCAAATTTCCCGCCTTTCTTTCTTCCCTGCTACGAGACAAAACAATACATGATCTCTCCTCAATACTCGACCCTTTCTCCAAAAAGTGATCGAAGATCCTCACACCCTCTTCAATCATTGCGTTTTCCGCATAAACTCTAAACATCAAATTGAAAACCTTTCCCAAAACCTCAACCTTTTCTTCATTAAAATCCGCAATCCACCATCGCTAAACCCAAACTTTCGACCTGGTTCGATTGAGGGCTTAGAGAATCGACGGGTTCGATTGAATTACTCCCAGATTTTCCCAAAGACTGACTCGCTGTTTCTAAGTCAGAACTGGAGTTCTCTGTTTCTTTCTTAGGTCATTGAACAACCGCGAAAGTTTTCCAGAAGTCAAGTTTCGTATCTCGTTGCTCATGAGCCGTCACGTAATTAAGGACCAAAAAAATCTGCATACAAAACTGAGAAATCTTGCCGACGACGGCTAGAGAGAGACTTCCGAGTCTGTGTGACACACGACGGCCTTAGCGCCAAACGAAACGCCGCCGTTTGTCTTACTCAATAATGAAGTTTTTATTAATGTTTTTGGTCAAACAACAACACAATTAACTACGTTTTTGGGCAAACAAAACCACTATTACATCATTTGTCCCCCGATTTAAATGAAAATACAATGCATAAGATGAACTAAAGTCTATATACTATGTACCACATATATATCATACTATAAACAACAACAACTAAGTATTGAGAAGAGAATGGAACAAAAAGAATTGGATTAATCCTACATAAATATTCGTGTAACTAGATATACATATGTGATATATCTCTGTGGTTTAGTTAAGATAAACAAAAACAGGAGAGAGAGAGAGAGAGAGTTTAGAAAAAAAACTAATAAATTAGCTGAGTTTTGTTGTTGTTGTTGTTCCTCATCGCTTGTTGTGCAAAGGATTTGATCCCGTCTTCACCTTCCTTTTCTCCGGTAGGATGTCTCCGGCGCCAACGACCGGTGGTAGAGTAGGTTGAGAAGGGATAAAAACTCTGTTATCATCACGAGTAGAAGGCCGTTTAAAGGAGAAGAAGCCTCGTCTCTCGACGACGTGGATTCTTGAAGCTTTCGATAGAACAACGACGAAGAAAAAAACAATGAGACAAAGAAGAATACGACGAGCCGGATTCATATTTTCTTTTCTTTTTTTCTCTACAAGAAAAGAAAAATCTCCTTTCTTTTTTTACTTCTCTTGAAGAATGTTTTTCTTTCTTTCTTTTTTTTCCTTAAGAGAGTTTTTTTTTTGGGTATGATTATGAGAAGAGAAACAAGGTGTGATGCACAAACTTCCATATGTGTTGTTGCGAGTGTGTGTGTGTATTATATATTTGCATTTTATTTAGGGATTAGGTGTAGACATATATGGTCCACTTCATAAAGTTTCTTCTTTGTCAACATTAATTTCCTATTTTACATTATATTTTTCAAGTTTTTTTTTCTTCCATTTATATAAAAAAATATAGAACTTTGAGAGGTGCCATTTAGTTAGAGAAATACTCCGTTTATGTGAGTCAAAATATCAAAAAAAAAAGTTACATTTATAATTAGACCAATTAAACAGAATACTCTAGTATTTTTGTGTTAATGTTTTCGTTGATATATCATCATCTCGATTCAAAGTTTGTATGTGTAATGCATGTTCTTTTACAAACGAAGTAATCATTCATTCTTATCATAAATTTTGTTTGTTTTCATTAATTTATATAAATACATAACTTCGACTACTATACTTATGTTTTACAACAAAACATAACTGTGGAGATGTCAGTAACTTTGTAATGGGAAAGAATCCGATAAATACAATGGTGAAGGGTGAACCCCACTTCCCACCTAAAAATGGCCGGTTTTAAAAGTGAGTATTGATTATATATGCAAACGATTTTGAATTTCAACTCTCAGATGCAAACTTATATATATATATATATAAAATATCCAGTAGCAATTTAATGTCCATGTTGTTCACACACATGCACATACAAAGCAAGCAAGCAATACATGTTGAAGCTCACACACACACACATACATATGTAAATAAGTAAAAGAAATAAGATTTTGCATTGATAAGTCTTCTTCACATGTGAAACGTAAAACATAATTAACATATCAGTTTGCTACTTACGCGTGAATGTAATCTTTTAAGGATTAAAGCATTCGTAAGGGAGAATGATGAAGCTTTGAATAGCGGCATGATTTTGTATGAATTTATTTATCATTATCATCAACACAATATGGAATTCACAACAACACAAGAGACAAAAAGTTACTTATATAAAAAAGTTACATTTTCCTCTCTGTTGACCTTTTTGAAATGTGACCGGAAAATTCTGCTTTCTTTCTCCACAGAGAGAGACCAATTCAAAAGTCATGATTATCAATAATAGAATAAAACCTACGTTTTTAAAATATTTTGACTAGTGAAAACGACTTTGGTCTATTTAATGGTCGATATTTAACTTTATAAATAGATCTCTATGTTTTTACCTTTATAAACCGACTATATTGTCAAATTTTTCTCAACATCTCTCATCATGTCAAACATTGAACTGTTGTTCGTGGATCGTGGTGGTTATATTATTGTCTCTTTTCATAGTTTTCGGCTGATTTAATATTCTTTTTTTCCTGATTATCAAATGTTGCCGACCATGAGGGAAACATTGGCCTAATTTATTGGACTTGGGCCTATAAATCTGGCCCATTTAATCCAAATGTATGTTAGAATCTCTGCTGTCTTTCTGTTTTTGGATTCTCCTGCAAGAAATTACTTTCAAACCGTTTTGTTGTGAACATTGTACAATGTGTATGATGGTCACTTTGATTTAATTTGGGTTACTGTGCGAGAGTGTTTTCTACAAGCATATATAATTAGTCATTTTTTTTGTTGTTGAAGAATATAATAGTAGTTGACAACACATTACATCCTCAAAACCCCAGTTACATGAGTGGTTTTGAACTAATTAAGATCCTTTTGCTGATCCGTTGGGGGGGTTTTCCTAAGCAACCTGAACATTGCTTTTGGGTTTAACATTTGCCTTGGTGGCTCCTTCTCTCCATCCTTTTTGACGAGCTCTCTCTTCCCACTTAGATGTTAGATTTTTCTGCTCGGAGAGTGCTAGTTCCGCCTTTTCCCGAGCTTCTTCGCATGTCTCCATACCCGAGTTGCACTTATCTGCATCCTTTTGGTATGACGATGTTACCTTCTTGGCCTCCAACAGTCCCATGTCTGCTCGTTTGTGTTTCTCTAAAGATTCTGCTTCGCGCATCTTCAGTTCCTCGGTTAGAAGTTCAGCATAGTTCTTCTCAGTGTCTTCGTTCACCTCTGGATCGTGTTTTGCGCAATCTACAACATTCAAAGCAAGATGTTTTGATACAAAAGACTCGATATTAAAATACCCATCGTAGTAAACTCACCAGCAAAAGATGCATTACTGAGTTCTGCAAAAAGAGAGGAAACAAGTACAAGAAAAAGATTAATCTTATGTATTTGGTAACATCAAGAAATCTCTTACAAACAATGGATTTCAACTCAGACTTCAATATTTTTATTTAATTTCACTAAACATTGAGTAACTGAGATAATCATGTTATGGTGGAGAGTATCGACACAAGTGAAGCACAATTCAGTAGTAGATGTCACCAAATTAGTTTTCTAATCCTTCCTCGATTGATAATCAAGCAAGAAGCAAGCTCAAAAGCATGCAATTCAGTAACTCCAGCACCAAAACTTCAATAATACTAATCCTTACTTCCAACAGCTACAATACCAAAATTTGATATATAACTAAACTCCTTCATCCCTCCAAAAAAAAAGGAGTAAACTTTACCCACAGATCTAGCAAGATCGGGCACAGATAGATAAAGCAAAATTCAATTTTACATCTTCACATGTTTATAGAAGTGAATTTTACCTTTGGGAATGGTGATAGCGGGATAGGGAGGGCAATTACAGGGGCAGGAAGGGCAAGAGGAGGCGGCGGAGGATTGGCTAACGGCGGCCAAAGCCTCAGTGAGATGCCAGTAGAGAGGCGGACCAAGTATATAACCAGCCATGCTCAGTCCCAGCAAAGCTAGCCCGATCTTCAACGCCGCCGCGTGTCTCGCCATTCTGCGGCGAGTTCGAAGGAAGTAATCTCGAAGTGGTCTTTTAGCTGTCTGTGACGAGACGACTCAGTGTTGAAAGAAATATCGGTGCGATAGGATTTGTCACACTTCTGACTCTTTGCTAATTCCGTCGACAGTTGATAAATAACTGCGATGGATGTTTTGTGTGTATAGAATCTTTTGGCAAAGTGCTAAGTTAGCCGTATAGTTTAGTTATTCTAGCCTGCAGGAAAAAAAAATCTTCACAGTTTTATATTTGCCAATTAGGCTTAAAATTTTTGACATTTAAGTGTTTTTTTTTTTTGGGTGCAAATTTGACATTTCAGTGTTAAGTAATGTTTTGTTTCTATTAAAATATATATATGGGAGGATAATATTTTCTTTTAGAGAAATAAGTTAATGTCAATATATAATAACAAGACAAAATAAAAATTCCCAAGGTTTTGTTGTGAGGTTATGATTTGTGTGGATCTTCGTAGGTTTGTGTAGCTGTTGTTCCTTTAACTAACTCTAGGCGAAACTTATTAAATGGGTTTGAGTTGCTCTTGGCCCAACACACGTTCTTCTTCTTTAGGCCCAGCTTCTTGATCCGAATTTTCTGACCCGTTTATGTAAGACTATTGTTTTGACAAGTACAAAACCTAAAAACGAGCGTCTCTTTTTGTTGTTGCTTTCGACGCTGAATATTTTGCGTCGTAAGATGGCAAAAGCCAAAACTGAAGAGATCGTTTGTGAAGATAGGATCAGTGTTTTACCTGAAGATTTGCTCGTAACGATATTAGATCTTCTCCCGACAAAAGATGCAGTAGCCACCATGTTTCTGTCGAAACGATGGCTTTCTACTTGGACGATGGTAACTTCACTCGTCTATAAAGACATAGATTGTGAAAGCAAGAAAAGCGTTTGGTGTTTTCTTAAAAAATCAATGCAACTCCACAAGGCACCTGTAATAAACAGCTTGTGTATGGAACTTGGTCCACAGTGCCCTACTACTGATGATGTTGATATCGGAAAGTTGGTTGCAAAAGCTGTTGATCGCTTGGTGATTAAGCTAGATATCAATCTCCTCTGGTCAGCAGGTCCAAGCAGCTTGCACAGGAGCCTTTACTCTTGCGAAACTCTGGTTGAACTGACTCTCTCCGGCCAGATTCTCGTGAATATTCCTTCTTCTTATTCCGCCTACCTCCCATCTCTTAGAGAACTCGAACTAATCAATGTCGTGTATAAAGATGAGGATTCTCTTGTTAGCTTATTATCGAGCTGCCCTGTTCTCGAGATCTTGTTTGTGGACCGGAGAAAAGATGACAATGTGAAAAAGTTTAATGTCAAAGTGCCTACTTTATGGGACTTTTGGTATACTAATTACTCGTCTTGTAGCAGCAGCTTTGATCATACCGATAGGTGTTTGGTTGTAGATGCTCCTGCATTGACCAACTATCGAATCTGTGATTTTTCAGGAGACTCTCGCTCCATCGAGGATATGCCCTTTCTCCAGGATGCAAATATCGATGTTGAGTCTTATCATCCGGATGACAAATTTCTAACTTCTTTTTCTTCAGTCTTGTCTCTTCATCTGTATTTGTCTGATGCAATGGTATATATCTCTTTAATTTTAACTCATTTGTAATTTCATTGCTGCATCAACGTCCTACTTCCTTAATTTAGTTTTGTTTGTTTCGTTTGCAGGTTAACCATTGTAGCACCATCAACTTCTCGCGACTGATAAAATTAAGCATATGTCCATGTGGACCAGAGTGGTTGGAACCACTCCTACGTTTTCTTGGAAATGCTCCAAAACTAAAAGAGTTTTTGGTAGATTATGTACGTATCATCCTCCTCCTCTTCTTGTTCTAGTTTAATGGACTAAAATCTACATGCGCTATTCAAAATTTTGCTTACTATGTAGCCTTCATTTTTTTTGTCAGAAATTTCTCTATAAAGCCGAGGATATTCCATATTCATGGTGGAACCAACAAAGTCCTGTTCCCGGATGCTTGTCAACAGAGCTTGAGATATTCGAGTGGAGAGAATATGGGGATAGAATGGAAGAGGAAGACTTCCTGACATACATTTTATCCAACTCTATGCGTTTAAAAACGGCAACAATATCTTTCAGGTCCGATCTTGAAGACCAAAAGTTGATCATCGAGGAGTTAGAAGTTCTTCCAAGGGTTTCAACAATATCTCACCTTTTGTTCAAATGAAAAATCTACACATGTTCAGTGAATGTGCAAGCTTAGCCTTACTTGCACTATAAGATACTCCAAAATTATTGATTCTTTTTAAATACGCATATTTACAAATCATTTATTTTCTAAAAAACAGTGGTGATTAAAATGTTCCAATCTTAGGGGATTATTGTAATCTATGCGGTTACGATCACTTTCCAAAAAGATGTTAATTGCCTAATTACCTTTTCCAAAGAGATGTTAATTGCCTAATTACCTTTTTTTTTATTTTTTTTTGTCAAGGAATTGCCTAATTACCTATGTAGCTAATTACAAGTATTTTTTTTTTCTTTCTTTTAATGATGGATGTTACCATAATAATAATAATAATAATAATAATAATAATAATAATAGTAATTTTCTATATATTATTAATTGTCGCTTAACCTAGCTGTAAAGTTTGTGTTTATCGCCTCTTATTACTTAATTAATATATATATAACACTAACAGGAGGAAGGATCCAAACTCTTAAAAAAAGAAGAGAGACCGAGGCAGATGGGGACGGAATTAAAGAAGAGCTTCAGTTGGGAGATAGACAACTTCTCGGACATAAACAAAGTGATACGGTCGGGGCTTTACTCAAGCGGCGGCGGCTGTCAATGGTAAGACTGTCAGATAAGATCTTTGGCATTCCCTTTGTTTAAAAATTTCAGTGGTTTTCTAGAGCAAGTTTTCGGATCTTGTATTTCTAGCTGTAGGTATTTAGTTCCGTAATTCTGGCTTTATTTGTTCTAATGTCTCTTAGATCGATCTGTTGAGTTGAGGGAGGAAGCCTAGCTAGATTTCCTTAAGTAATGAAAAAAACCCTGCTTCGAACCCCCCGCAATCAATATATTTATATAGTACTAGTGATTGTTCTTCTGATCTAACCCTTTCTTACTCGAATTGTCTAAAAAGATCTTTAAAAAAAAAAAAAAAGAATTTTATAAGGAATCTGTGGTTTTGTTTTGTCTTTTTAGGTTTCTTCAACTCTATCCCAAGGGATACGGTGTTTCTGATCACGTGTCCCTGGCTCTGAGCGCATATAAGCCTGAATCATTGAGACTTGGATGGAAAAGGAAAATTAACCTTTTCTTCGTTTTCCTGAATCAATCCGGCAAAGAGCTCTGCAGATCTAATGGTAATGATGAACTCGATTTTATCTTATCTTCATGTTCTTTATTTATATATTTATCTACTTGATTGATTGATTTATGATTTACATTTTTCTTACAGATGAGTGCAGAGACTTACTCTTCTGCGCTGAGGTCCCTCGCTGGATATTCCTTAGGACGTTGCCTCTTACCAAGCTTCAACAAAAAGGGTTTCTCAAGAATAACAAACTAACGATTAAATTCAACATTGAAGTTACTAAAGTTGTTCATCAGGGAAAATCTACTAAGAATGATATATTCGAATTCAATGGTGTCCACATCCTTGTTTCTCAAGTAAGTTTAGGATAGGAGCCACTGGTTTCCCTTTTTTTATCCCATTATTATTAACAACTCCTAGAGCTAGTAAAAGTACGTTAATAGTAGTAGTTCTGCTTAATGATTTCTTTTGTTCTTTCTTTCTAATAATCATTGGCAGGCAGTTTCAAAGGCCAAGATTTGCCGGAATCACCCCGGCTTTTTCAACGATTTCTACCCAAAGACCAAGGAGGTGAATGCTGTATACTTCACTCTCTTCTTCTCCCTCATCGAGACACTGAGCAAGTCTCCACGGAGCTTGTCTGTGACTGAACTAAGAAATGCTCAAAACCAATTGACTGTGCTGACCAAGGCAGGCTTTAAGCTAGACTTTTTGAAGTCAAAGCTCAATAAGGCTTCCTCTGGTTGTCAGGTCCAAAACCTCCTCGGGGAACAGATCAAGAATGTGAAACTGACTTTGTCCAAGGAGAAGATCAAATATGCGGCTGCTGCTAAAGTTTCTTCCTTTGGGTTCATAGGTTTTTTTTTTAAGAAATTTTTTCTCCCTTGTTTCTCATCAGTATGAAAACACCAACTATGCTTGTTTTATGGGAGGAACTCATTTGCGTGGACATCATCGTGGTCACATTAAGCATAAATGAGGAGGACACTAAAATTTTATTTACATATAACATAATATTAGCTCTAACAGTATATTTAACATAATATTTAGTTTTGAATCTATTCTTTGTGTTCCCTTGCTTTTAGCCTTCATGGACACTAATTAAACTTGAAGTACCAAATATCCCAATCTCTAAAATCCTAATTGTTGGTTTACGTTGTTGTTGCCTCATCCAACACATGGTATATGAAACAACTATTTTCTCGGAAAGAGTATTTATTATTAAAAAAAAATTATTGACAATTTCCCAAAGTTTTTTTCTTTTCTTGAAAACTACTCATTTGCCTTAACTTCCAAAAAAATAAATTCAAGTTAAGTTTCTAAGGAAGTATGGGAATTTCAAATTGACTTTTTAACTATATATTATCATTTAAAACTTTGCATCACTTTTACATCCTTACCTACTAAATTGTGGTGTATCATTTAGGACTTTGCATCAGTTTTACATTTTCAAATACCTTGAATTAATAGTAAAAGTAATAGTTAATCAAGAGAGAGGTATATTTTATAATCTTGCACAAGATGTGATCATATACAAATTTTTATGTTTTAGTTACATATTGTGCGCAAGTTTAATGATTTTTCAAAAAAAAAAGCTTGAAATTTTTTCATTCATATTAAAAAAATCTTTAAAATTGATAAATAATAATGTTTTATATTTAAATATTATTATCCATTTTTCTCTCCACAAGCATATAAAAGACAATTAAGTTTGAATTTACAAAAAAAAAAATTTACTTCTATAGTTTTTTGAAAGTTTTAAACTTTTAAGATACACTTGGTTTAAGAAATTTAGTGTTTGATTTAGATTATAGTCTAGTTTCTTAAAAGCAAAACTAGTTATAAGGTTTTTAACACACACTGATAAGTAGATTCCGGTACAGGTTTCTGGTTATCTTTTGGTTAAAATTGATTTGGTTCTGTTGCAGAACAAAGAGAAGCTTTGCCTCACATGGCATGGTCTCTCCCAAAAATTCTCATATGTTCCAATCCAATCATCATTCTTCGATTTTACAGCGTAATTGATAGAGAAAAGAGACTCAGAATCTTCGTCTTGAAACCCTAGATTCCTTACGAAATGCCAATGGAGATCTCACTAGATCTGATGAACCAACTCAAGGTCTCGCTCCGAAAAGAGGCCAAGCTCACCTCCTTCGATCCCGTCGGCGATGACTCAGACTCATCTTCCTCCGGCCTTCCCACATCCGCGGAGGCAATTGCAGAACTAGATGCTTCGGCTCCGTATCTCCGTTGCCGGAACTGCAGAGGAAAGCTTCTGAGAGGAATCGAGTCTCTGATCTGCGTCTTCTGCGGCAATCAGCAACGGACCTGCGATAACCCTCCTGATCCCATCAAGTTCACTTCCACTTCTGCTTACAAATGGTTTCTCAGCTCTCTTAATCTCGATGGATCGGTAAAAGTCGAAACCTTTCGCACCAATTTTTTAATTTCCGTTTCCGATTTTTTGCTGAGAATTTGTTTCACTCCCTGATTGTGTATTAGTTAGATGTATAAATGTGGTGTGTTGCGCATTTGAAAACACGAACTTCTCATCCGCAGGAGATTGTAGAGCCACTCAAGGAAACGAATGGATCAAGCAGAGGAGCTAAGGCACCTGCGGTAAAAGGAATTGCCGTTTCCAAGTTTCTTGATTTGGAAATACAGTGGTCTGCCACAGAGGATCAGTCTATGAACAGTGGACCTGATGTTGGACAATCAGTGCAGAATAAAAATCCCCTGAATTTGGGAGGAATTAGTCTTGATGATTTTTTCGTTGAGGGAAGAGGAAATCTTGCAAAAGTGGATCCAGCAGAGAGCAAACCCGTGGAAGATGATGATTTTAAGGATCCACGTAGTCTTAGCTTATTTGATAGTGTAAAGAGTCCGGGAGTTGTTGGATCCCAGCAGCACGAAAATGTCAGTTTGTTTAAGGGAAAGGATGTCCAGATTGATGTTTCTTCTGAAGAACATGAGAATCTTAGTTTGTTTGCGAGACGAGATGCTCAGGAAAGTGTTTCTTTAGCAGCGCAGGGAAATTTTGGGTTTTTTGAGGAAAAAGATGTTCGGAACTCGTTTAAAGAGGATGAAAACCTTGGTTTGTTTGCTCATATAACTAGTTCTTCTAAAGATGATGAGAGTTTTGGTTTGTTTGATGGTAAAGATACTCAGAGAAGTAGTTTTTCTAAAGAGGATGAAAATTTTGGTTTGTTTGAGGGTGCACCATCATCAGATACTAACATTAAGTCTTTTGACGACAAGATTGTTGCCTCTTCTTCTGATTGGGATTCTGACTTTCAATCTGCTGATCATAATCTTTCTCAGAAAAAGATTGGTGGTGACCCGTTTGTAAGTTCTCCAGCTGATTTGTCTGCTCATATGGATTCTGTCTTTGGTTCCGGAAAAGATTTACTTTATGTAAAACCGGCAGATTCTTCAACTGCTTATGTTTCCAAATCTGGTGATTGGTTGCAAGATGATTTATTTGGTAATGTCTCTGGTGAGGCACAAAACAACGACTCAGTCGTCCATGATAAGAATGAGGGACTGGTTGTGGGTGGCAATGGAAATTCATCCATGGATATTGATTGGATCGGAGATGATCTATGGCAAACCAATGAAAAGAAATCCACTGAGAAGACCCCTACATATGTCAATGATGATGACGATGACTGGAATGATTTTGCAAGCTCGACTAACTCCAAGACTCCTAATAATCCACTTTCTCAAACCATGGAAAGTCCCCAAGGAGATATTTTTGATGGACAGGCGCAAGTTAAGAACGGTGTTAAAGAACAGAATACTGGTACAATCGTGATGTCTGACTTAGGCAAAGGTGAAGAAGATGATCTCTTTGGAACTTGGGATAGTCTCACATCATCAACTATTCGGCAGACGTCTCTGCAGCCTCCCACCAATCATGCAAATCCATCTGGTGAAAAAATTCCGGAAATGGACTTGTTTGGGGCAAGTAACAATCACAGAAACCTTGATTTTGACAGCATCTCACGTTCTGATTTCTTTTCTGAAAGTATTGGCGGCAAAAGTAGCTCAGAGGAAGCCAAAGTCATACCTCTTGGAACCTCAACCTTAGACAGGTTACTTATCTTCTAGTCAAATTCTTGTTCTCTAAACTCTCAATAGATAACCTTCAACTCATAATTACAAAGAGCTTCAGTAACATGTTCCTGATTCTCTTTTGAATTTTGGGCTTTTGATTTCAGAACAAGTGACCCTGATGGTAGTAAAGATCAAACAGTTGATCTTGTTGTAGGCACAACAACAACAGCTACCAAGTCAAAGAGTGAGGTTGCAGAGGAGCTGATGTCACAGATGCATGATCTCTCATTTATGCTGGAGACAAAACTTTCTGTGCCTCCAATCTCCAAGACAGAGTAATATTATCACACTTTACTCTCTCCTATCTCTCTTGCGCTCTCTTGTTTTTTCTCTTGAGGCTTGGAGATTGCTTGTTTGCACGTATATATATATTTCATTCTCAATAACTTTTCGAGTGATCCAGTTTTAATTGTTCTGTAGCCACAAGTAGTTGTTAGTATAGTTGTATTGTTCATTTGGGGTTGATCTTGGGCACTTGTTGATGATACACACAAAAACAGTCCAGAATTTGTTTGGATTTCAGCTTAGTCTCTGGTCATTTAAAAAGAACTTGGTTGCTCTGTTTCTCTGCTTAAGCATTTAAATATCTACCAATCCGGAGAGTCACTGTTTATTTTTTCTGATAACCAAGAAAAATATCTAAGATTATGTATAGGAGAGAGAGATACATCACTTGGACCGGAAAAAAGGAAATATAACATGTGCAACCGACGTAACTTCTGTTAGTCACTCAACCGTTTTCGTAAGTAAACTATATATATATATATATATATCTCCACATGATACACGTTCTTGTTTGTGTAATTAGATGGACTCTCATCACTTCATATGAATTTACAAAATCTTTTTCATCATCAATACATATTTTAACAATATACATGAATTTAGACAAATCTTACCGTCGGCTTATATTGAGACTGTGGATCACTCTTCTTCTTCAAAGGAGTATACTGTATGATGTTTTTTGTAAATGAATGAAGATTTTTACTCAAGAAAACAGATATATAAGAAAATATTAGTAGCAAATATAAATAAGATGGTTAAAATATACGAAAAAGTGAGTACACAAAGTATGAAGGGAGAAGTAAATCAATAAATCAAAGCAAATATAAATATACCAACAAATGCATTTTCTAGCTATGCGCCCCCACACCTCCAAACTCGAACTTAAATAGAAAATTAAGTTGGATACACAGAAATCACCTCATCTAAAACATTAATCATGTTCGAGCCACATTGCCATAAATTGAATTGAATCATCTTTTTTGCATAACTAGTAGTTCATATTTAATATTTCATCAACTTTTAAAATAGTATTTTCATTAAAGTAAACTAGAGTATATTATCATCATCATCATCTTCTCCATCATTGAAAGAAAGGTGAGTTGTTTTTTTTTTCCTATAAAAGACAGAGTTAGAGAGCATAAATATAAGTTACTTAATTATGTCATACTCTTTGATTTTGACATCTAAAGTTTGTATTTTGAAACAACAAAGCGCTCTCTTTTGCATTCACCATGCGTTACAAACTTCCTCTTTAACATACAGTAAAACCTCTATAAATTAATACTCGATAAATTAATAATCTCTATAAATTAATAAATTTCTCCCAACTTGGGACTAGTGTAATTTTAGACACATTTCGATAAAATAATAAGATAATAAATTTTTTGAAAATTTTTTGTAAATAAATGGTCCCATCAATATTATAAATTAATAATTAGGTAAAATTTTCAAAATATATGTATATATAGACACATTAGTTTTTGTTATATTTTATTTCTAATATTTTACTATATGAAAAATAGTTAGCATTCTCTTTTAATACATAATAATTATTGTTTTATTTGTAATTGATTATATAAAATGCTAATTATCATGATTAAATCTTATTTTTAAATATTGTTTTGAAAATAGTTTCCAAATTAGGAATATCTCTATATATCGATAAATTAATACCTATATAAATTAATAGATTTTCATGGTCCCAACATTATTAATTTATAGAGGTTTTACTGTAATTCCTGCTTAATTGACACAAATTTAATATGTTCTATTACATAAAGTATGATGAATTCATCAAATACGTACAAAATACAAATTGGTAAACAAGTTGACTAAGTTACCATGCTGCTCTACGACCGGAACTTGATAGTTACAAATGATATACTTAAAAAGTAGCTATCATAGCAGTGTTTGTGATGAAAGTTATGCAAACAATTTTGAATTGAGTAGGTTGTTGCTTGAAGTAGGCGTTCGTCATTATACGAATCTTTTGCATTTCTCTTTGTTTCCATGCCACGTGTTATTCATACCACTCACACGCCTCATGAACATAACGGGAAAAAGCTTATCAAACAACGTCTTCATAACTATAAATATTTATGTTTTTATAATAAGACTCATTGTATCCTTTAAATTATCTAGTAACATCAATATTGCATTATCATCCTAGAAAATGCATTGAATCGTTATAACTGATACAGTTTTTAAGTGGTTATTCTTGGGCACTTTCTTACAAAAGTACGTACGCAAATTTTCATATATTTTATAACGAAAATAAAAATAAGCACCTTTTCGTCAACTGTATCTCTTTGTTATACTATTAATTATAGCAGTAGTACTACACAATAAATATCAAAGTTTGAAAGAAAAATAACTTGTGTGTATAATAAAAACACGTGAATGTGCAAGTAATTTTGCATGTGGTTAATAATAATAAAGCGTACATGCATGTGCGTATGAGCTGTGAATGTGCGTATTGCAGTGGACAGCCGTAAATGTCTGACCAAAATCGTTTTCCTTATCTCTTTTACCCAACACTGCCTTTAGGTAACTCATCTTGTCGCTTCTTCCTTCATACCATTTCTTCTTTTTCTCGTCTTCCTAATTTTTACTTAAAAGGTTAATTATCTTCATACATACATGTTTACGTCGTCTATTTTTATAAAGTCCTATCTTCAAAGAAAAAGATACAAAAATCTTAGATACTCACGGTTTGATGTACATTTTGATTTTTTTAATGTGCTACAAGTTATAGCCCTGAATACTATAAAGACATATTCAGATTTGATTACGATGGTGGTTAAACCCACCGCTCCTCCTATTTTCATTTTCAAATAGTTTCCAAACGCAATTTCTAATTAAAGAGGTGTATATTATATAGGAAAACCAAACAAATTATGTTATAAGAAATATAAAATATTTTTAATGTGAAGAAAAATTAATTTGATCTCAATAAAATCTACCAAATTTCCGTACTTCTCCATTTCCATTTTTAATTTTGGTGTATTTCACCTAACTCTTGCGAACCTAAAACCAAAAGAAAGAAAAAAAAAAACCAAAAAAAAAAAAAAAAGAGAGAGAAAGATTTGTTGAGCACTTGTCGACATATCGTAGCATCTATCCTCTGCTGACGCGTGGCTCGAGACGCATACGGAACTCTTGGTCGGAACAGAAACAAATACTTGTTTTGACCTACCTGAAAATTGGACACGTCATCAACTTCTAGACTCGAAAAATAAAAGAGAGTAGAAAGGCCAATAAGACTCTACCATTCCTAACGAAGTGTCACGTCACTTCCTATCGAACCTTTCTCTAGATTCGTTCACTGCCCACGTCACTCCTCTTCCATTGCTCACGTTTTCTTTTCGTACTAATACTTCTCTCTACGCATGTATATATATATTTTGTTGGTAATCACATCGAAGATTCGGAATTGGATCACATTTGGTAATCAACTTTTTTCTTCTTCTAAAGACTCCACGTGTATGGACGATTACATATACACACAATTATTTATCTTTTGGCTTTGGTAGATAAACTCGATGTTACCAAAAGTATACACTATCTAATTACCAAACCAAAACAACAATCTAAAACCCTTATATATATATACTCTTCTTTGTAATAACAGAGTGAAAAGCAAACACATACAAAAAAAAAAAAAAAAATCACCATTCTTTCTTTAATTTACTCTCATCGTATTTATCATTCTCCAAATGAATTGGACTAGAGGAAAAATTGTAGGCCGTGGCTCAACAGCCACCGTTTCCGCCGCCACCTGTCAAGAATCCGGCGAAACAATCGCTGTGAAATCCGCCGAGTTTCACCGGTCGGAGTTCTTGCAAAGAGAAGCTGAGATTCTTTCTTCTTTAAATTCTCCACACGTCATCGGATACAGAGGATGCGCAATTACGAAAGAGCCCTCCTCCAACAACGACGGAGAAGCTACGACTTACAATCTCCTCATGGAGTACGCGCCGTACGGAACGTTGGCCGACGTGGCCTCCAAGAACGGTGGTTTCCTCGAGGAGGCTCGCGTCGTGAAGTACACGCGCCAGTTGCTTCTTGGATTGGAGTATATCCACAACTCCATGGGAATTGCGCATTGCGACGTCAAGGGAAGCAACGTGTTGATCGGAGAGAACGGAGAAGCCAAGATCGCTGATTTCGGGTGTGCGAAACGGGTCGAACCGGAAAGAACAGAACCGGTTAGAGGAACTCCGGCGTTTATGGCTCCGGAAGTGGCCCGAGGAGAGAGACAAGGGAGAGAGAGCGATATCTGGGCGGTGGGATGTACGGTGATAGAGATGGTTACCGGGTCGACGCCGTGGAGTGGAGCGGGTTGGAACGACCCGGTATCGGTGCTTTACAGGGTCGGGTATCTAGGGGAGTCACCAGAGCTGCCTTGCTCGCTTACGGAACAAGCAAAGGATTTTTTAGGAAAGTGTTTGAAAAAAGAAGCCAAGGAGAGATGGACAGCGAGTCAACTGTTGAACCATCCGTTCTTGATAACTAAACCGGAAATGATGGTAACCAGTTTGGTTACGAACTCACCGACAAGTGTGACGGATCAGATGTTCTGGAGATCAGTGGAAGAGTCAGAGGACCGTCCAAGCTGGTGGGAATGTCACGAGGATGAGAGAATTGGAGTGCTAAGCTGTTCTGGTCAGTTTGTGGTGGACTCCACATGGGATATGGACGGTGCTGATTGGATCACGGTCCGATGATTAGTCGGTTCACTTGAGGGATGGAGCGTTTGGTTATTTCCCGATTCATTTTAGTCAAAAAGAAATGTTGTTTTAGATATGCATAATAGGCTTTGGTTTAGGATCATTGAAAATTTTGGATTTGAGAGTGAATGTAGAAGCAGTATAGAATTGATGAGGTTTCAGAGAATTTCATGTACATTTGCTAAATTCATCCATTTTTTAATAAATTCCCCGTGAATCCAAATTCTGTTACTCATGATTTTATAAAAACAAGAATTACGACAGTTGTGAATTTAGACTCATAATGCCTTAATCAAGGTCTAGCCTAAGTGAACAGAAGAACCAAGTATTAATGTAAGAAGTTGCACGGGCTGGGAGTAGTCAAGTTAGGTAAAAAAGAGTGAGAAAGTGGATGATGAAAGTACATACATACTCACCAAAGAAGGGATTAGTTTTGTGGAGACAGAGAGTGTAATGATTTTAACTTGTGGGGAAAGTGAGAAATGAAGGCAACAGAAAGATGCCTAATCGGCCGAATTGGTTTCTTGGTTGGTTTTAGTTGGGTCATTTTTAGGGTTTAGGCAAACTCTAAAGATTCCTTTCGAATCTTTTCTTACCGGATTCGCATTTTCCAAATTTTTTGGGTAATTTGGTGAAACTTTCTGTTAGCCCATTTTGATGTTTCATTCATTATGTCTTTGCTTCCACACAAATCTCTAATTTTGAAACCTACCTTATTTTAAACTCATTTTCACTTAATTTTAATATTCACAAGAATCATCCAGATACACTTGTCTTTCAAGGGAGTTTCAGATCATAGATGTGTCGTCATCACCAAGAAAATAAACTCAGAATGTAAGAAGTTTAAAACGGGGTTAAGGTACTCATACCATACTGACTACACCCAGACCGATCTTTATGATCGATCATACAAAAAGCGTCTTCACCTATTAGATAATAACGTTATGTTGTAAACAGAAACCTCATATCTGCCTCCGTCAGCTTTCCTATGGCCTCCTGAGAACCACCAACCGTCCTGTAATAAACAAAAATGTGTTCATCATATAACCTTTAAATAATCGTTAAGGTTCTTGAAAAAAGGAAAAGAGTTTAGAATATTTTCTTTACCCTTCAAACACAAGTTCCTTCTTCTTTTGAAGCCTTAAAATCCTTTCCTCCACTGTGTTCTCTATTATGAATCTCACAATCCTGTAATTCACAAATCACATATATGTAACCAAAGATTGTTCTTCACCACCAACAAACAGAGATTGAAGGAAAACTAAAGTGTAACCTGATTGGCTTGTACTGTCCGATCCTATGAATTCTGTCTTGTGCTTGTTTCTCAACCGCTGGATTCCACCACGGGTCCATCATAAATACCTAACAAAAAAATTCCACAAACAACCAATGTGAGAACATGTTTAGATACATATACATCTTGCTAACTACACACTTACATGTGAAGCTACAGTTAAATTAAGAGCAACCCCTCCGGCTTTCAAGCTCATTAAGAAAACTCTGCAATCTGGGTCTTCTTTGAATTTATTGATAGCAGTATCTCTAGCTGCCATGGACATGCTTCCCACCAGTTGAACACAGCTAACCCCACACTGCATCGTAAACAATCGTCATTTTCTGCATGTTTCATTCTGATTCAAAACAATGTTAAAAAGTAGTGGCCTAGTGAATTTCTCCAGATATTACCTTCCCAAGGGTATAATTTATAAGGTCCAAAAATGATGTGAACTGGCTGAAAACTATTGCTTTGGCAGACCCATCTCTTTCAATCATGAATCTAATTTCTTCTCTCTGCATACAGATATTCAAATATCATCACAATTCACAAAATGCTTCGAAAAAGGAAGAACAATGCTCAAAACGCCAAAGAAACTTAAAAGGATACTGTAGATACTTAAGAGCACATACCAAAGCCTCAATCTTTGTACTTGTCTGAAAATCATTGAGCTTTATCCGATTTAAAATGCTGGAGGATCTAAATCCTTTAAGTGTTGTCTTGCTTGCCTGATGGTCTGTGTCAGCTTTGGTACTCCAATCGACAGTCAGTAATTTTGAGCACGTTGGGCAGGTGACTTTTCCCAGGGACGTGGAGAAACCAATCAAACAAGCTTTACAGAACACATGTGCACAAGAAGTCACCTTCATAGTAACAGAAACAAAGAAGAATATTAAAAGAACAAATTTCCAACAATAGTAATCTGACGATTCTTGAACAAATTGTAAAATGAAAGCAGCTGTTTCCAGAAGATACAGTTACTGATAAACCATATTCTAGATAATATGAAGTAGCAATAGATCGATTTGGAGAACTTACAACATAGTCCTCAGCAGGGTCGTGACAGAGACCACATTCTTGCTCATTTTTGTTCTCATCAAGCAAGTTAGCGTTAACACCACTAGAATTGGAATACACCACAAGGTATGGATGATCAACAGCCTGAAAAAAATGTAGAGAAAATATTATCAAAAACCTACATATCTATATCATACAAATAGTGGATTGGTTGGTTGAACCAAAAAAGTATAGATGCCTTTCACCTGTCTCAAACGAGTGAGAAGATCAAATATATGTGCATAATTATTCATCAATGTACCAGCCTGAATATATCTGCAAACAAAAATGTACATGGCATAGTCAATAATATAGTTCTGTTACACAAACCCGTGAAAGACCATAGAATATAAGTAACTTGCGTATTAAATTCCGCCTGGCTGTCTTTGTATAGAGATTCATAGTAATCAGCCTCTTTTACATCTAGTGCATCCCGCCTCAAAGAGATCTACAAAAAGTCAAATTTAAAAGTAGAGCTTAAGCTTTGTTTAGTGATTTTTAGTAATCAGCCTCAGTTATATCTAGTCCATCACGACTTAAAGAAATCTATAAGAAGCCAAATTTATATGTAGAGATAAATAAAGCTTGGACGCAACACAACTATATGAAAATTCATTTACATAAAACAAGGGAGAGAAAGGAACATACAATTCGAGGAGGAAGAGCAAGATCAGCTGCCCGGCCCAATTTAGTACGTCTTAGAAGGATGTCTTTCAGAACTTTGTGTTTAAGTAATATCATGGCTCGCTTTCCCAGTCCCAAGCTTCCATGTACCGATATTGGCTTGGCCACATTCTAGTAAGAATAGGAAAAAAAAAACAGAAGGACAAGATATGAAATGGTGATCCTGCTTTAAGAGATTGCGTAATATAGGAAAAGTGACACCTCAAAGTTACCTTGTTCCACCAACAGAAATGTCGAACTGTATTATGAGGACAGCTAGGACATCTTTGATGTGCACTGCAATCACAACCAAAGGCAGATGACAAAGAAATTAAATAGATAAATTGTTACGATCATTGAAACAGAACTATGAGAAAGGAGGAGATGATTAGAAGTTGAGTGTGAAAAATTACACGTAATCAAGAATTCTACAGTCACAGTCTTTGCAAAAGTAATATGAGTACGGGAGAATTTGCAAGAAGCGGATCTGGGACAAACAAAATAGGCACATCAGCCATGTTAATTATAATGTTTAAGTGCTATAAGCAAACTTTAGGAAAGATCGACTAACCAGGGAGTAAAGCTCTCCAACACGATTCTGAAGAGGGGTACCACTCAAAGCCCATCTGTAGGTAGCCTCCAAAGCAAAAACAGCTTTTGCTGTGTTGCAACTTCTTTCTTTGATGTAATGAGCCTGGTGTGACCAAATGTAGATCAAAATTAGTGAAGGTCAGATCCATAAATCCACCCACTCAAGACCGAAAAAGAATATGATATAATGTAGAGCAGACTCAAACGATAAAAGGACAGGATTTAAGTTAATTTTTGGCAAACTTAGGTTCTACGGATGAGTTTTACAGTGAACTCTCCTGCTGAGGTTTCCTATCCCACAACAGCCATGAATGGCACCATACCTTACATGCTTAAATTTTAATGCAAAGTGTGCCAAATAATAAGGTAACAAAAGGTTAACACCAACAATCAGCGGGTCTTGGTACTGACCTCATCCAAAATGATCCTATTCCACTTAATAGAGTGCAAAAGAGACTTCTCTCTGTGAACTGAACCTAACTGATCTTCTTCTACTGTTTGTTTGGACTTTTTCTTAGATTTCTTTGTTTTGTTATCCTCTCCTGCATCAGCCTCCTTCACTTGCTTTGAGAATGAAGCAGTAGACTTCTTACTTTTCTGCTTTGATTGTTTCGCTGTTTTGACAGCCGAAGGACCACAAAAATACCGCAGGTGAATTGTAAGCTTCTTTGGATAAAAGGACTTGCTGCAATATGCACACTGCACCTTGGGCGGCATCATATATCTCCTATACTCACTTTCAACTGTGGAATATGTTGTCAAAACAAAGTCGTAGTTCATGAATTCTTTAAGATTCTTCTCTCTCTTCGCCCCATGGTATATAAGAACCTTGGTGCTTCCCGGGGACGTAAACCGAACAATCTCATTTAACCACTGAGAAACAGCAACTAGAGGACAAAGTACAAGGGTGCACCCCACTGCTTCCCCAAACTGTGCCCTGTCAACTTCTCGTCTAGCAAGAACAAGAGAGATAGCTTGTATAGTTTTTCCCATTCCCATCTCATCCGCGAGAATGCCTCCGGCAACTGATTGTTCCTGTTTTGATGCCCAAGCCAAAAATTCTTTTTGGTACCTTAACAGCGGCATAATCAAATCTGAAGGGGGCTCAGCAGTTTCAGCAATCACAGCATTCTGCTGATCCAAATCAACATCCTCTGTCATATGTTCATCAATCCATCTGTTATCATCTTCTTCCCATATCTCCCACAGTAGATCAACTTTCTCTCCGTTTGCACCTGGTTTTTTCCTTTTACTGCCTCTTGGTAAATTTACATTTGCCAAAGGCACAGGGGCAAGAACAGGTACAGGAATTGGTAAATCCTCATTAGCATCTACTTCTTCCTCCTCCACCTCCTCGTCACCTATGTTCAAATATGAAATGTAAATTATGAATATATTCAGGACCTCGTTTTGCAAGTTTTTCAGGACTGACCTTACATGATAACATTGAGCAGGTGTACCAAGAATAGATAAAAATTACAACATCATGAGTTCAGAAAGCGAGCAAAATAAGTATAACATACTACACAACAGACATTGCCTATTTATATTCAATGGGACATTATCCTGTATAACATAAACTGTCAATCAATAACACTTGAAAAAGCAGAGAACATTATAGAAGATGCATGAACTTCAACTATGCTAGAAGACATTCAAGTTTAAAACAGTTTAGCAACGAATCGTACCTTGAAATTCAGGGTCGACTGAATCGTCGTCTGAAGTAATAGCATAAGGTTCTTCGTCAGAGTTGAAGCCAACTTCTTCCTCGAGATCCACAACTAGTTCAGAAGAAGAAAATATGAATAACTTATCACCCGACCGTAACTAGGCCTTTTAAAGTTTCAATTTTTTTTTTAAATTCCACGTTGTGTTAAGCAAAATTTTTTAAATCTTTTCACAATGATGAAATTGCTAAACACATCATGCAAGAAAAAAATTGAACTTTCCCCAAATTCACAGAGATCAACATCGAGCACAATATGAAGAAGATTCAATTAATTTTCAAGTAGAGATCGAGCCGAAACACAAACACTAGTTCAGTAATACCCGCGACTTCTCGGGTACAACGGAGACGAGTAAGGATCAAGCCCAAGATCAATGGAGTGAAATCACAAAAGGGTCGAGCGTAGATTACCTTCAATCGCCTTTTTGCGGGGTCGTAGCTCCATCTCTCTGCCCAGACTTCGCAAATTTGAGGAAAGAGGAAAAAAATGAAATTAGGTTTCTGTCTTTCCGTTTTATAGTATTAAGAAAGATAGAGAGAGATAGAGATAGAGAGAGACAGAGATAGAGAGACAGAGAGATGGTTTATACTTTATTGGTCGATAACGGCGGGAAACACTAACATTTATTCACACGTGTTCACCTCCTACCGGTTCGATTATCTAATTATGACATCATATTTTTCTTTTCATTTTTTTGACATCATAATTTTTCCTTTCTTTATGTAAGTAATAAAAAAAAAAATCTTCTAACAAAATTTTTTTGCATCACTTTTGTGTTTTTTCCTTTTTTTTTTTTGGATAAAGATTTTGATAAATGGAAACTTTCCACAAAAAAAAATAAAGGAAACCTAACCGACACATAATCTCTAGCTAATCTCTACATACGTACAAACGAATCATAATAAAAATATTATCATAGAAGAGAAGGTAACAAAAAAAAAAAATTGTCAAATAAAACCCTAGCTAAAAAAGCAAAACCTCATAGAGTTGTGAGAATATACGACTATGGAAAGTGTTTGTACGTACGTAGTAATATGTTAAATAACTAGAGATGCGAAGGCTTTAGAAGAACGATGCTCTTAATCAAGTAGACAAAGACCCTACACAATTTTTGATTTTGCATGGTTTGTGAAAAAATGCAGAAGCTGTTGAGAAATTTATATAGATCAGATGATGATCACTGCGGAACCTATCGAGTCATGACGAGAAAGATCATTGGCTCCAAAGCAAAGGGTCTTGTTTTATGTGATAAAAGATAACAATTAAACGCTCGTTTAGGCTTTTGGTGTCGTCTCTATTTCGGCAACTTTGTGCTAAACCCTCCGACAGCTTGGAAAATAAAAAAGCATGAAATGAGAATTATTGCTGGTTTTCTCGATAAAATAATAAAACCTTATAATTTTCTTTAGATATAGAAACATATGAACATCTACAAAATATAGATGTAATGACATGCCAAGTAAAACTTATAGAATTGAACCTGAGTTCATAAAATCGACCAAAAAAAAAACCCTTGCGTTTGATAAAAAATAAAAACATATATAGAGTATGTAATTATAGTATCAATTGGAAGTTGTGAAAGGGGGAACTGGTGAAAAAACCCTTGCGTTTGATATTATCAAACAAAGAGATTGAAGTTGTGAAAGGGGGAACTGGTGATCGATCTTAATTATACTTTGCCTCAAATTATGAGCGTCTTCCATCTTTTTCATCGAAGCTATCGAAAGAAAAAGATATATCGATTCGATCAAACTCGAACCAATTTTGATATATCAGCCAGTAATCCATATTGTTGATCAATATTTTCTCTGATTCTCATCGATCATTTCTGAGCATGTAATCAGTTGATATATGTTGTTAACTTCTCCTTCGACCTTTGATCCTGAATTGAAGATGTGTAGTCAACGAAAAATGTGTTAATTCCAACTTCCAAGCAAACATGCACATGTATGTATATGTACGGAGCATGAAGTATAAATATACGAATTGTTTTTTCAAACACATATATATGTGCGAGTATGTATGATCATAAAGATTAGACGAAAACGAGAGACATACAATGAGGATCGGATGAAGTGGTGATGATGAGCCGCCTGGGAAGGCATAAGGATCATTGCTCTCGCTCTCTCTGTCTCTCTTAAGCCCCTGCTCAAAACCATATGCATATACAGTCTTGTACATATATATATGGTGCGATACGACTCTTAAATATAAACATATGTATATGTTTCACCAACTTTTTTTTCAATTATAAGAAAGTAGATGAAAAGCTAAAGATGACTAGTTTATTTGGTTCTTTTCGTATTATATATTATTGAACGTAGGAGTCTGTAATCTTTATATATAATATAATTTGCTTTTAAGTATATGCTTACGCTTTGAAAAATCATAGAGACAATATGCATATAAAAAAAAAACAAAAACATGAGATTGAAATTTACAGGTTCACTGAACCTGGTCCCTTTTTCCTTTATGGATTTCAAACAATATATCAAGCTTTAAAGATGCATATATGTTTTCCGAAGAAAATTAAAATATTAATTTGCCATTTCATATATCACGCTTCATTATTTGTGTGGCTAGAGATATATAATTAATCTGATTAATTCATAAGTATAATGAAAATAATAATAAACTCAGATAACAAGAAATCATTGGAAATGACAACCTAACCAAAAGACAAATCATTCTCGTTACTTATTGTATAATCCTAAATACAACCATACTGCAACCATGTTCCATAAAAAGTAAAAAAGATAAAACAAAACATAATGGCCACGTTGGTTATTAATTTATATAGTTCGTGAAACACTATGACACTACCTAATTAGTTAGGTGTTGATATATTTGATATCTTTTGTTTTCTTCTTTATATATTGTTGCTAGCTAGATTAAATCAGTAGTATTATTAATTTGTTTTTGATAGTATAATTTTCGTATATATGTCCGCAAAAGAAAGAATAATTTGCGTTATGATCATTCAACTAGAATGTTACGCTTTTAATCAACGGTAAACTATTACTTGACTCCAAAAACCTTCTCTCTCTTTTTTTTTTTTAGTAAAGTAGAGAAATGACTGTGTGTGCACAATCCGATTGGATCATTTGTGTCACGTATAACCATAAAATGTGCTTGCCAATTAGATTCTCCACTCTTTATGGTACAAGAATTCAACCCCTTCACTTTCTTTTCTCCGCATTTTGGTACATCCCGAAATTTCAAAGGCATATATAATCGATACATTCAAGAAAATCTTACATCGTTAACTACATAATATAGCGATACGTAAAACCATAATTGATGATAAAACTCGATTTGAATTTGACTTATAGCCCTACGTCCTAAACTTCTAATGGTTCGTGATTAACTTTGTATCACGTACTATATATATAATTATATATGTATATATATCATAACTTGTGTTTAAATTCGTAAGTATGTATATGGGTGTGATGTATACGATTATATAATTTAGTTAAAAAAATTCATGTTAACACACATATAACTTTTTTTTGGCAATGTAAACACTATTGTCGTGGATAAGATACACCTAGCAAAGCATTGACTAATATTATTCTTTCTTTCAGCTTTGTTGTCTACAACAAACGTTCGGACCTCGTCATTTGCTAGTGGATGGATCGCCTCTGTGCTACAACATTTCCACTTATAGTGAAAACATCGAATCTATTAACGGTTTTCTTTTTTATTGTCAACCAATCGGAAAGTGAAAACGATCACCATCATCAATATTAGTCAAATGGGTTTATACGAGTTTATAGTACGTTCAAATACAATGTGAGCTTTCTAAAAGATAAATATCAAATTCTTACTGGGCTTGAGGTTCAATTTGGCCTGATAAGAGCCCACATTGGTTTACAATTTGGTCGACGTGTAATGTAAGAACTCAAATTGAAAAAAAACAAATAGGAAACGATTGGTCAATCATAGACACACACACAGATGACAGAGCTTTAATGTTTTTTCTTTATCATCTGCTCTGTTTTTCAATGGCTTCCATAGTTCCTCTTCTCCGTACTCTCAACTCTCTAATAAACCTCACGAAATCATGCTATTAAACATTTCTTCTTCTTCTTCTTCTCCAATTTTGAATCGAAGCTCTCACTTGCTCTCTAATTCCAACAACTCCGCTTCATCTTTTCCTCGAAAATCCAAAATCCATCTCCCAAAATCTCATCTTTCCACCAATCTCTCAACTTTATCGAACCATAGTCTCTACGGCACCCAGAACAGAGCTTTATTCAGAAACAAGAGATACCCATATCACAGTCCACGAGCTCTCGCTGGATTCGATATCGGTAGTTTCGAATCAGTTCTCGAAGCTTCCGCTGTTCTCACTGCGATCATCGTCGTCCACGAGTCTGGTCACTTCTTAGCTGCTACTCTTCAAGGTATCCGTGTGAGTAAGTTCGCAATAGGGTTTGGTCCGATTCTAGCTAAGTTCAACTCCAAGAATGTCGAATACTCGCTTAGGGCTTTTCCTTTAGGTGGTTTTGTTGGATTCCCTGATAATGATCCCGACAGTGATATCCCTGTAGACGATATAAACCTTCTCAAGAACCGACCGATTTGGGACAGAGTGATTGTGGTTTCAGCTGGAATTGTCGCTAACGTTATCTTCGCTTACGCTATCATCTTTACTCAAGTGGTATCTGTTGGTTTACCAGTTCAAGAATCGTTTCCTGGAGTTCTTGTTCCAGATGTCAGATCTTCCTCTGCTGCTTCTCGTGATGGATTGCTTCCGGGAGATGTTATCTTAGCCGTTGATGGCGCTGAGCTCTCCAATTCCGGTTCTGATACGGTTTCCAAAGTTGTTGATGTTGTTAAAAGGAATCCGGATCACAATGTGTTGCTCAGGATCAAAAGAGGGAAAGAGGATTTCGAAATCCAGATCACGCCGGATAAGAGTTCCGATGGGACGGGGAGAATCGGTGTTCAGCTTTCACCGAATGTTCGATTCTCAAAGGTTAGACCGAAGAATATACCGGAGACTTTCAGTTTCGCCGGTAGAGAGTTCTTTGGACTCTCTTACAATGTCTTGGACAGCTTGAAACAGACTTTCTTGAACTTCTCTCAAACCGCTAGTAAAGTCGCTGGTCCAGTGGCGATCATTGCGGTTGGAGCAGAAGTGGCGAGATCAAACGCAGACGGGCTGTACCAGTTTGCGGCATTGCTGAATCTAAACCTTGCGGTGATCAATCTGTTGCCTTTACCGGCTCTTGATGGCGGAACATTGGCTCTGATATTGTTGGAAGCGGTTCGAGGCGGGAGAAAGTTACCGTTAGAGGTGGAACAAGGGATTATGTCGTCTGGAATCATGCTTGTGCTATTCCTCGGTTTATTTCTCATCGTCAAGGATACACTTAATCTTGATTTCATCAAAGAAATGTTGTAATCTTTTTGGAGATAGAAAACAAAAAGTATTTTTTGAAGAGAATGAGAGAAAACCTAAACCTGAGAAGCTGAAAAAGTTAAAATACCAGTCTGAATGTCTGATATAAAAACCGAACCTGG